AGGATGCATTTTCATTCACTGGACCAAATTTGGCACAAATACACCCAAATTTGAATACTGGTGGGGTTGGGGAGGATTAATTTTGTCATTTGGGAGTTGTAGTTGCTAGGACTTATAGTTGACCTATAATCAAAGAGCATTCTAAACTTCACCAAGGATGGAATCGAACCAAACTTGGCACACAGAACTCCCATGACCAACAGAAAATAATGGAAGGGTTTGGTGGGCATTGACCTTGAGTTATGGAGTTGTAGTTCACCTACATCCAGAGAGCACTGTGGACTCAAACAATGATGGATCAGGACCAAACTTGGCACAAATACTCAATAGGCCCAAATGTGAACACTGGTGGAGTTTGGGGAAAATGGACTTTGACATTTGGGAGTTGCAGTTGCTGGGATTTATAGTTCACCTACAATCAAAGGGCATTCTGAACTCCACCAAGGACAGAATTGGGCCAAACTTCCCACACATATCCGCCATGACCAACAGAAAATACTGTGTTTTCTGATGATCTTTGGCAACTCCTCTGACAATCCTTTGAATATGGAGTAGAGATTCCATTGCCTGCAGAATAAGAGACTGCAGCATGGAAGACATATCCTGAGCATGCTATAAGGGATTTGGCTGCTGCTCCTTGAACTCGTCGTTTTTGGAAAACTGGCTATATTTGTTTCTGCTTGATTGCATTGGAAAAGTTTTGGTCTAGTTGGCTCTGGCTGAAAAATATCAATTGACAATGTGTTTTAATGATGGAGGCTACCTATTTTTAATTATAACGTTATAAAAACAGTGATGATACTGTTAGGTAAATGAATTGTTTAGTTGTTTTTAGGGTGAGAGGCAATGATGTATTTATATGTATTTTTGTTTTTATATTGTTGTTCTTGTGCTATGAGCTTGTTTGAAAATACTGTCCAGAAGAAAGGGTTGTCTCTCTATATTTGTGGGTTAAGCATTTACTGATTTGTTTTGGTGTTTGGTATTTGATTGAAGTGTTATTTCCTGCCACTTCTGCTGTTGTTCCACACATAACAGTGGACATTATCAAATATCTACAAATGCTTAGAAAGAACACATATCTAGGCATTTTAGGTCCTCTAGTAACACTGTACAGTCTGGTTCTGATGGAAGTTGACCTTGGAATCATGCTGGAGGACTACAAATGTGTAGAGGAGTGCTCTGTGAAGTAAAAAAAAAGGTGGGCTCATATTAGCAGTTCTTCCCCTTTCAGAGAGATCTTGTGTCCCTAACCTCCACAAATATGGATGGGTAACTGTATATTGAACTAGCGATGATGATGATGATCACCATGGTATGGCAAACTCAATCACTCATAATTTAAAAAAAAATTCAAATTGTAACAAACATTATCTGTACCTTTCCTTTTAACTACATCTATGCTTGAAGATTCAATACACTTATTTATACTGAAGTGGCTGAGCAGAAATACTACAAAACCAGAACATTCTTACTGTTAGACGGTGCCAATTTTATTATGGAACCAGATCACTCATAAAGTAGTTAACAACTTGAATGTAGAGGTTAGCATAAGCAGAAATGGAGTTCTCGTCACGCAAAGGAAGAAGGGTCTCCTGGGTTCTACAACTTTCTCCCCTCTATCTGAAGCCCTTTGTAACACATTTTATACTATTCTTGAGGTCTCTCAAAACCTCAGGGTTGACTTTAAAAATATAATAAGATTAATATTTTTCCTATTCAAGACTTAGTTTAGGAAGCATTTTCTTTCATAATTAGAATATCGCCGTACATGGTCAACAACACATTTTTTCTTAGCTGGCAATTGTGAATCACTGCATAGGAACATAGCACACACGTTGATGTAAGCAAATACTTGTTCCATGCAAAGAAAAAAAATCCAAGCTATATGACTGAAACTGAAGAATATGAAAGGGCTGTTTATATTTTAAAATATTCAGAGTTATCATGTTACTAAAGCAGTTTTAATTTAGATTAAATTGATCCAGTTTCCTTTCAGTAGCAACTATAAAGTTATAATAATTATACCTGACTAGAAAAACAGGCGTTGGGTGAACTCTTCATTGCAAAGTTTTCAAGACGTATTTCTTAATGACTTCTCAAGTTAGGCAACATTCCATATACTGTGTGTAATCAAATATGGGTGAAAGAAGTAGATTACGGGAATACAGAAATGGGCTGGTAACTATAATAACATTTTTGCCTGTCATGTGTTCAAGGAATGCTGTTATACAAATAAATGTAATTTACTAATTTGATTTCAAATCCTACTTTGATAATAATAATAATAATAATCATAATCATAATCATAATAATAATATTGTTGCAATCCCAGGCGACAGCAGGATTGAAGAGAAACAACTGGAAAAGCTGACACAATACGAGGATTTAAAGATTGAACTGCAAAGACTCTGGCACAAGCCAGTAAAGGTGGTCCCAGTGGTGATCGGCACACTGGGTGCAGTGCCTAAAGACCATGGCCTGCAGTTAAACACAATCGGCGCTGACAAAATTACTATCTGTCAGGTGGAAAAGGCCACCCTACTGGGATTTGCAAGCATTATTTCCTGATAAATTACACAGTTCTAGTCAATTGGGAAGTGTCTGACGTGTGATCCAATACAAGAGCCAGCAGAGTGACCTTGTTTGCTGTGTGCTAATCTTTTTGTGTTTCAAATAATAATAAATAATTTTATTTCTTATTCGCCTCTCCTCATGGCTCTTGGCAGGTTGCAATACAATTAAAATACATAAGCACAGGAAAAACACTACAAATATACACAACATACCTCAATAAAAGTTATCTGTACAAAATACATACTAAAACACAGAAAACAGAGATCAAACAAAGGACACTTAAATTCATTTTTAAAGACTGCCTGGGTAGGCCTATTGGAAGAGATAGGTCTTTACATGGTTTTAAAATTCTGACAGCTCATTTAGCTATTTGGAGTTCTTCCTGCAGGTCGTTCCACAGTCATGGGGCAGCCAATGAAAAGGTCCTCTAGGTGGTAGTTGCCAGTCAGGTTCTGGCAAAGACCAATGTGTGCAGGGCCAATTATATGAGAAGAAGTGATCCTTTAGGTAATTTGGACCCAAACCATGTAGGGCTTTAAAGGTCAAAATCAATACCTTGTACTTTGCCAGGAAACTAATGCTTTGAGTAGACAACTGCAAAGGCAGTCCAGCACATTCGGATTTTAATTTCATCTTCTAAAAGAAGAAAATCCTTGAAAGAAGAGTACTGGTAAAAAGAAAGTGGGAGAGAAAATTTAAGAGGGTCCACCCTCTCCACAAACATGTGAGATATTTAAAACCACCACAACAGATGTTCAGCTAAAATATACACTGCAAATTTGAGGTACAACTGCCCAAAGGTTTGACAGGAGAAAACTGTCTATGGCAGATAAGAAAGCTTATCTAGCTGGTAAGCAGGAAAATAATAACTTCAGTGGAAAGGAAAGGAGTCAGCAGGCATAATAGGGGGAAAGAACTTAGGACTAGAATAGATCCGAAGAAGGAAGATAGCTAGTTACAGGTTGTGCTAAGGTAAAGCTGATTGAATTATTTGTGTGTGTTTTCACAGTGAAAGTTAGAGGGCAGATACCTGTGCCTAGATGCCTTTTAATGACTAATTCGATTCAGATCATCTGAAAGACCATCTCTCTATATATGTACCTATCAGTGTCTTAAGATCCACAAAGATGGCATTATCCCAGTCCTACCATCATCATAGGCTTGTTTAGAGAAGACATGGGAGACAGTCTTCCCAGTGGGTGCTCCCACTCTCTGGAATTCCCCTCCACTGGAAGATAAAGTAGGCCTCTGCATGCTCTCCGTTGGCAGGCTAAGACCCGTTTGTTCAACTGGGAATTTTATGTGTGAGTATGCTTTATTTTTAACTTTTTATGTATTTTTAAACAATTTCATACAGTTTTAAATGTATCATTTAATATGAATATTTTGACCATGTTTTTTGTTGTGTTTAGGTTATTCTTTTTGAGAGCCAAACGCATCACATAAATAAAATAAAAAGGTCTAAACTAAGACATCAACTGGTGTCATGAGATTATTGAGAAGTGAGTTTTTTTGTGTGTCAGAAGCAACTGCAAGTCGCATCTTTTGTGAGAAACTGCAAGTTGCATCTGTTGTGAGGGAATTGGCCATTTGCAGGGGCATTGCCCAGAGGACGCCCGACTGTGTTACAGTCCTGTGGGAGGCTTCTCTCACGCCTCCACATGGGAAGCTGAAGCTGACAGAAGGGAGCTCATTCCTCTCACGGATTCAAACAGCCAACCTTCAGGTCAGCAGTTCAGCTGGCACAAGGGATTAACCCATTGTGCCACCATGGTGACATTTCAGGGTTAAATAAGTTACTATCATAAATTACTATAGGTCATGCTGGCTAGAATTAATGAGAGGCAGTCCTGTCTTCTGTAGAGTAAGCAATGGGACTGTTTGAAAGGTAGGCATGCCTCACGTTTCTCTTTCACTTGGTATTTTTGACCTTTTGCTTAGGAGAAATACATGTACAGCACGCTAGAAAAGGAGGAGTCACCCCTGTGGGTCTGGCTCCTCTTTCTCTTTCTGAGTCCTGCAGATTCAGTTTGGCAGGGGAAAAGAAGGCAGGTTTCAGAGGTAACCGCACAAGATGACGACAATCTGCATCTCATGGGCACCAGGGCATGGAAGGCACATATAGGCGAACACAAAGATTTGCTGGGATGCCTATGGTGGGTTTTTTCCTGCCTTAAAGTAATTCAAAAGAAATTTAATTATTTCTACTGGCGCCTTTCATCGCACTATACAGAATAAATACAGTGAAAAGAAAAAGCGGAATCCTAATTTACAATGGCAATTCTGAGTTCTCAGCAAGTCATTTTTCTGAATTTGCGAGGGGATTAATGGACTATATAATAAACGTATACCTAAATTTTATTGAGTGTAAATGTTTTCTCTGTTTCAAATACATCTGCAAAAAAGGAGGGGAGGGTACTTACTGTTCCAAAAGTTGCTCATTCTTTCCTAAAGCATCTTTTTCAGCTGCCACAGCTCTCTCTTTTTCAGTCACAGCATTATCTCGTGCTTCTCTCAAATTTCTGAAAGTTAAAAAATGTAATAGAATAAACATTAATCTTATTGTCAAATGTGTGTTCATTAGTAAACTGAGTTATAACCTAATTTATTTATTTTGTGACATAATTTCATATTGTGAATATTTTGATTTATATACTCCATTCAAACTTTCAACCATGACACATGCAAGGTATGATGAAAAAAAATTCAACTTCATTGTTAAAATGTTATTTTTATTATGCTTACAACCCAGTATTGATCTTTTTTCTTTTAAAATTATCATCCCGAAATATATTTCAAATGATTATTTAAATAGACCTTTTGTTGGTCTTAGGTCCTTCCTAGTCACAATTTGGATATGAGAAAGCTCAAATAATGCTAATAAACATTCATATTTGTTAGTATGAGATACCAATAAACATGTTGCAAGACTAAATCAGCACAAGTATTCATGCTTATAAAAAAGAAAAACTACATGAGATCAAAGATAATGTAGGAGGTATATGCTGCTAGTAGTGGCAAATAGGCCAATAGAATGTATAATAGCCAAAGAGAGTAAAAATGCAAAAATGACAAGAGGTAGTAACACACAAGGGAATACTTATTTATTCATTTACAGTATTTATACCCTGCCATTCTCACCCCAAAGGGGACTCAGAGCGGCTTACAGAATCTATTTATTTATTTATTTACGATATTTATAGCCCGCCTTTCTCAGCCATATGGCGACTCAATTGGCACAATTCGATGTCAGGCATTCATAAAAATGCCATTAAAAACAATCAACAAAAATAAAACATAAATAACAAAAAACATAAATAAAAACCGTTAAAGCATATAAACATCAGTGTCATCTTGTTAAACCGTTATCCAGTAACATTGTCTGGCCATTCCATGTCCATCATTCATAGTTCCATGTTATCTATTCTGCTGCATTCCCAAAAGCTTGCTCAAAGAGCCAGGTCTTTACTTTTTTTGGAAAGTCAGGAGGCAGGGGGGCGATCTAATATCCCTGGGGAGGGAGTTCCATAGCTGGAAGGGGGCACCACTGAGAAGGCCCTGTCCTTCGTCTCTGTCAATCGCACTTGCGAGGCAGGCGGGATCAAGAGCAGGGCCCCCCAGACGATCTTAAGCTCCTAGACGGTTCATAGGAGGAGATACGTTCGGACAGATAAGCTGGGCCGGAATCATTTAGGGCTTTATAGCCTAAAACCAGCTTTAGCCTTGCGGACCTTTTCCCTACAGGTGTTGGCTATTTGTTTGAATTCTTCTTTGGTGATTTCTCCCTTTTTCCACTTCTTGTGCATGTCTCTTTTGTGTCTTAGGACAGTTAGAAGTTCTTTGGACATCCATTCTGGCTTCTTTGCACTTGTCCTATTTTTTCTCTTTGTTGGCACGGTTTGCAATTGCGCCTTGAGTATTTCACTCTTGAGAAATTCCCATCCATCCGTAACTCCCTTGTCTTTTAGTATCTGTGTCCACGGAATGCTGCTCAGCGTTTCCTTCATTTTTTGGAAATCAGCTCTCCTAAAGTCCAAAATGCGGGTTTGACTTGTCTTAGTTTCGGCCTTCCTTTGTACCTCAAATTGCAGGAGCACATGGTCACTTGCCCCTAAGGATCCTACCACTTCGACCGCATCGATCAGGTCCTCCGCATTTGTTAGGATGAGATCAAGAGTAGCCAATCCCCTTGTTGCCTCTTCTACCTTCTGGACCATGAAATTGTCTGCAAGGCAAGCGAGGAATTTGTTGGACCTTGTACTCTTGGCCGAGTTTGTTTTCCAGCAAATATCGGGATAGTTGAAATCGCCCATGACTACTACATTTCTTCTCTGTGCCTGTTTGGTCAACTGTTGGCAGAAGACTTCATCAAGTTCTTCCTCCTGGCTTGGGGGTCTGTAGTAGACGCCTACAACGACATCTTTTTGAGTCCCAGTTCCCTTGATTCTTATCCAGATGATTTCAAGCTGGTTTCCCAGATTGCTGTCTTGAATCTCTTCTGCAGCATAAGAGTTTTTGACATATAAGGCTACTCCGCCTCCTCTCCCCTTTGTTCGGTTTCTGTGAAAGAGGTTATAGCCCTCGATGTCTACATTCCAGCGATAGGAGTCATCCCACCAGGTTTCAGTGATCCCTATGATATCATATTTGTGGTGTTGTGCTAAAAGTTGGAGTTCGTCTTGTTTATTTCCCATGCTCTGTGCATTAGTGTAAAGACATGTGAGCCCCTGAGATCTTCCCTTGAGCTGTTTAATTGGGATTATTGTGCTTTTGGTACTTGGTCCTTGTTGTGTTTGTGCAGCCCTCCGTTTAGCCTTCTGGCGATTCCCAGACATTATGGGTAAAGTAGTGTTCGCAAGGCTGTTGTCCCCCTCCCCCGGTGGACCTAGTTTAAAGTGCGTCTAATGAGGTTTGCGAGTCTGTGAGCAAAAAGGTGTTTTCCTACTTTTGTGAGATGCACCCCATCCCTTGCCAGTAGGCCATCCTCCTGGAAAATCAGGCCATGGTCGAGGAAGCCAAAGCGTTCCTCCTGACACCATTTTCTAAGCCAGTTATTGACCTGTACTATTTTTCTGGCTCTTGTGGGTCCGTGTCTTACAACAGGGAGGAGGGATGAAAAGACCACCTGTACATTACATTCTTTTAGCTTTGCTCCTAGAGCTCGAAAATCATTTGTGATCTTTGAAACGTATGCCTTGCAGTATCATTGGTTCCTACATGAATCAACATGAGGGGAGGACGGTGATAGGGCTTGAGGAGCCTGGTGAGCCTCTGAGTGATATGGTGTATTTTTGCCCCCGGTAGGCAGCATATTTCTCGAGCCATCCCATCCGGTCTGGAAATGACAGCTTCCGTTCCTCTAAGGAGGGAGTCGCCTACTACCAAGACCTGTTTACTTTCGGGAATGACAGGGCCCCTTTTGTGCAATGTAGTGTGTAGGTCTCCAGAAAAGTGATCCTGTTGGTGTGAATTGTGTAGGTGAAAAGTGTTGTCCTGAATGATTTCAAATTTAAAGTTTACAAAAAGGACATGAAGCAACCCAATATCTTGTTTTTTGTTGTCAGAGGAATAGTGTCTGTATACATAACAATTCTATTTACCTATGATGATAAGTATCCATGAATAAGATTTATCTCTCATAAACACAGCTAATCATCCTTTTCAGAACTGGTCTAAGGCTAGGCAAAACCGTCATGATATTTTTACTCAAAACTTTGTTAAACAAATTGGCAAATTCTTTATCCATGCAATCTCCAATAAACGGGGCAGGTTTTAGTGAACAGCATACCAAATATGTATGGCATTCCGAGATACGGCAAATAAATAAAAATAGCTATTTAGTTATAAAACATTTCTGTCACAGCCTATATTTAGAGATCTGAGAAAAGAATAGAGACCATAAAACAACATTAAATACTTGTAAACCAAATCAAGCTAACCGGAAAGATAAAACAAAATCTGGAAATCCACCAACCCAAACAAATCAACTCACAGACACCAAGACGTAAATAAAGAACCAGATTTTAACTTTATGCCAAAATTATGCCAGTGTTCATATGAACTAGGCTTTCAATGGCAGTCTGCTTGAAACTAATTGTCACAATGACGACCTTATCTCCTGTGACTACATATAATGTTTTGCCCTGCAGGTGCTCTCAAAGGAAAGTTTTGTTTTTAAATATTTGTGTTAAAGATATTTATTTTATTTAAAGGAATCCAGATACACACAAAGAATTGATACGAAGACATAGTTATCTATCAGAGCTGAAAAGAAGATACATCTCATGCCATGTTTTACAGTCATGTCAAAAAGGCATTTCTTTCATTGATTTTTTAAGGTTCAGATATGAGTAAAAGTGTTTGCAATATGGTTACACTGTTCCTGCTCATTCAGGCATGTTCCCAACCTATTTATTGAAGTGTGCGGCTGCAACTCTGCGAATTGACCTCTCAGCTGTACAAGTTTCTTGTCTTTAGAGATAATATTCATCGAAATTTGACTGGGTATTAGAAGAACATGTAGTTGTTAGAATGAAGATGGAAGGGGAGGAGAAATCTTGGCAAAACTCATCACATCAACTGAAAACTGTAAGGAAGGCAGGGATGGTGGGATGTCATAGAGCTTTTCAGTTACAACGAAGAACCCCTTTTATACTCAAATATTTGTGGGGTTTTTTATAGACATACCATCCTACTATTCTTATTCTATAACTTACCTTGGAGTTTATTTTTGGTGAAGTGGGCAGCATTTGATGGCAGGTAGAGTCCCCACTTTTAGTGCAAATTTATAACGTAACATCTTCATTTGTTGTATATCATGGCAGCCCTACAGACACTTCACCTTTGAAGTTTCATTGCTTTTGTTCAGTAGGACAAATACTGCATTAAGAACTACTATTATTAGATCAAAAAGCTTTTCTCATTTAGCTATAAGGCTTTTAGCCTGAAAACAGTAGATTTAATTCTCACATTACTTTTTGATGAAGAGACTTCTTCACAAAGTCACTTTACAATATCAATGTCAGATGGTAAACATTTCATGTCAGTGCCATTTTCTCTGATGTGGTATGACATAGTATAAAATACAGGCAGTCCTCGAGTTACAACCATCTGACTTACAAATGACTCCTAGTTGAGAACATGAGTGAGACAACAGAAAGTGAGTGAAATCTGCCCTTAGGAAGGGAAATTCACTCCTGAAAGAGTTATTATTATGGGGAAAAGGGGTCTCCACTGAAGCTTTATCACCAATCCTTGTTTCCACAACAGGCCAACTTTTTCAAAATTCGCTTATTGGAGGGACAGAAAGTGAGGTCAAATCATCTGAACAGGGGGACAGACAGCAAAACAAACATCATGGGGCTGTTAAACCTTCCTTTAGTTAACCAAAGCTAATATTATATATAGATATAGACACAGATGGCTGAAGTTACACTTAAATAATGTACCTGTCTGGACTTACATACGGATTCAACTTAAGAACAAAGCTACAGAACCTGTCTTGCTCATAACTGGGGTATTGCCTCTAATAATCAAAGATTTGCTGTGGCAAATAAACAAGTTCTCAGACTGAGAAAAAACAAACTACTCTGTGTAATTCATTTGCTCCTAAGATTTGTATTACCCTCCACCCCTCAAATGCTCACTTTGTCTTGTACTTCGCTTACAATATTCTGATACTAACTTATCTCAGCTCAACATGAGGTAAGGCCACCAAATAAATCTTTATGTTGATATTCTGATATTTTATGAGTTTTAATAAGTTGGTTTACATTTGATATGTGCTATTGAAATTTAAATAATACAATGAGAAAAAAACCCTGAAACTAGATTAAGACCTGTTTCTGACCTGTTAGGAAAATGTAGTGTATTATGGATTTGATATAACTTTATTTTAGAGGATGTCTGAGATAGCAAAAATATGTTAATGGCAACCTACGTTTTAAAGTACAGAAATACATGCTCAGCTATGAGGCTGGGAGGCTGGGAAAGGAGATAACATAAGGGATGTGTTCTCCCAAAAAAATGTTCTCCCTCCAACCAAAACTTTCTTTCAATCACCAAATTTCCAACACTGTAGAGGAAAAATTGTTCTCAGAAAATTATTCACACTTAGATCTCTTCTATTTGCTGTGTACACATTCTCTTGGGAACCTCCCTGTCCCCATTTTCTTTTATATGCCTATACTGTATTCCTAAAAATGCTTAAGTGAAGTTTTAAAGTAAGTGTAATGCAAAAAAAAAAAAAAAAAAAAGGAGATTGATAGATTCAAAAGGGGAGCGGTAGACTTGTTTTGCCTCTCCCCAAGTTACACCATTAAATAAATGTCAAAACATTTTAATTTGGCTACCTATGAGACACTATAAATAAGAAGATCTGTGTTGAGTTGGATGACAACTGCAAATCCAGCTTTTCAAAGACCCCCCCCCCTTCTACGAAACAAAGGGTACCTGTATAGGTCCAAAAAAAGGGGGGAGGGGAAATAACAAAACCAAAAGTTTCACCAGGTAATATCGTTATCATACCTGAATAATAATAATAATAATAATAATAATAATAATAATAATAATAATGTTATTTCTTACCCGCCTCTCCTCACAGTATGAGGCAGGTTATAATATTGCGAAACCACATAACCACCAAGACACATAATCATTTAAAAGCCCTCTGTAAAATGCACATATTAAAACATATTTCCATAAAATACATATTAAAGTACACAGAACAAAAATTAGACATGGAATAGAAGTTTAAAATTAGTCATTAAAATTTTCTGGGTAGGCCTTTCAGAAGAGATAGGTCTTCACTTGTATCTTAAATTCCGACAGCTGAAGACCTTGAGATGCAGTAATGGTAATTCTTGACCACTAGCTATGATGCCTAGAGACAAGAGGAGATGAAGACCAAAAACATCTGGGAAGCCAATATTGCCACCCCTGCTTTTTTTCTGACAAATGCCTTTCCTTTTGATTCTCGTAACAATAGTTTGAGGTAGGTTAGGCTGTGGGAGTGATTGACATAAGTATGCAGTGAGGTTCACAGTCAACTGGGTATTTAAACCTTGATCTTCCCAGTACTAGCTCAACACATTAATCAGGCACCATGATAGCTCTCATCTTACTTGGCAGTGGGTTTAAGGTTGGTATTTACTGTTCAAATTACTACCAAATACCTAAAAGATAAACCCTACCACATGGACCACACCATTGGAGTAGGTGAAAAATGTCCTCTACAGTCATGTTGAACATAGAACAAGAGATGCATCAGATTGAACAAGAGGCATGATCTAGACAGTGGATAATGCAGTGAAGTCGAATGATAGAGGTGACTCAATTTCCTGTTTAACCTTACAGTTTACCTAATGACCTTGGATAAATATCTATTTCTTAGTTTAAATTACCTGAGAGATTTGTTATGATCTTAAAACATGATAATTCTGGTGTGTCTCTGGTTCCCTTTCACACTAAAGTTTTTTGTTTTTCTTTTGGTTTAATGCATGAATTTTAATTGCTTTTATTTCTTGATATTATTTATTATCTTTTGAAAGTCATTTTATTTCATACAGAAAAGTGAGGCATAAAAGATGGGCAACTAGTAGCTTGTCTGAGGCTAAAGACTCTTAGAAGACTCCTAATAACATATTAAAAAGCCTAAAACTAAAAGCACATATAAGACTAGGAATAGAAATTTAAGGGAAGCATGAATGATTCACTAAATCACCACACCCTTTTTGTTCCAATAGGGATAAAAATAAAGCATTGTTTTCAAGATTTTTATTCATGAATGTTCTTTTAAATCATAAAGACATTCAGGATTTGGCAGTAAATAAGCCATAATTTCAAGATGAGGAACAGAATTTCTGCCAACTGGTCCCAGACCAATATTCTTAGCCATATTGCATGCAAACATTTTTACATCTGTCAAAGCTCCATAAACAAACAGACCTTAAAGCTGTTTTATGTAACCATAATACAAGTCAGTACATGAAAAGCAAAGGTTTCTGTTAACATCTGTGATGCAATTAGCAGTTGGCATAATTAAGCAGATTGGTGGAGGAGGACAAGAAGGGAAATAAGGTAAATACTATATATATTCTTGTCTACTTTAATACTTTATCTTTCACCACTCAATATAATATAATGCAAAATATGAAATTTCTACTGAATCCAAACAAAAGGAATTAATCGACCAAACCTGTGCATTGCCATCTACCTCAATTCCTATGAACTTTCCACGATTTTGGAAGTCTACATATAATAAGAAGGAGTACTATAATTGTTATACAACATAATTGTTTATATTTGGAATTGGGTTTTTAATTTAAATTTCATCACTTGTGTCTTCAGTCCTATCACAAAGAAAATCTATGAAAAATGGGATTTTGGAAGCACTAGGAGTGATAGGAACATTTGTTGTGTAATACAACACAGCATTGAGCTCCGCAAACTGGACTGAAAGACTAGTAACTATTAAGCATAAGCTAGGAAGTTTGCAATTAATAATAAAAAACAATGTGACTGCATAGTCCAGGACTGTACAGCTTCAATACATTTCCTGGACTTCTACTATTTGTCTTGTCCTGCTGAAGCAATGAGGGACTAGACTGACTGTAACTTTTGAAATGGCAATACTTCACTTTTGAAATGGCAATACTTCGCAATAGAACCAATCTAGAAATAAACATAATTTATCAGTAAGTTGGAAAAAATGGGCCAGAAACTCCCTGTAACTAATGGTTTTAATTGAAACAGACATGCATGATTATTAATACTGTATAGCTACTCAGGGCAGTGGCACTTGAAGTCTTACAGCCCTGTTTTTAACTACAGCAAAATCGGTTAGCGTCACAGCAATATGGCTTGCTTCAAACATAGTTGAGGTGAACATAGTTGAGATTCACAAATGCTATCTCAGAACAAAACTTATGATGTCATAAAATTAATTTATCACCTCCAGCCTTATACTGAAATCAGAAAAAACAACATTTTTATGGCCATATTTTGACAACAGTAATCTTAGCACAGTAGTTCAAATACCCATGTTGGTTCCCTGATTATTTTACTGATCATTTTAGTCTATGCTGAATCTGCACTGCATGTAGGTACTCATACTGGCAGGGTTTGGTTTTGTCCCATACACTTCAATGCAGCTCCAAACTGAATTTGGTTCTTAGACTGAAAGAGGTTCCTCACCCTTGTCATGGATGCTGCACAGGATCAAAATCCTTCTTAAGATAAAAGTTTGCTGTAGGAACCATTTCTATGTAAAAAGAAACTAAGACCCCAGGAGAAGAATCTACAATATAACTTTTTCTTTAAGAGGCAGCATTGGTATAGGAAACAGAGTCCTGAATCTGCTGGTGTCACTGTGGCAATGCAAGGTTTTCCCAAGTTAACAAATGGGAAGGGTCAAGCAGTTTCCCACTGCACCACCCAACAACATACATCTATGAAGAAATTCACATTATTGCTAGTGCAACATTTCAATAACCGCAGTCTTTAAACCAAGCCATTTGAGTGCTACAATCTTCAGGGGAGTACTTCCTTCCTGCTACCCACCTTGACAGATGTAGGCATAATGTGATTGACGCTCTTTTCTCTAACCTTCATTCCCCCTTTCATCAGATTAGGAAAGAAATAGGGTGGCTAGAGTCTAAACAGGAATGCTTTTTTCATTGGGATGTTTTGTTGAAGATCCATTGCATTCAATGGATACCTTTACTTCTAAAATAAATATTTTCCTACCTGTTTTCACGTTCATACATTTCCTTTGTAGCTGTCCGAAGGTGTTCTATTTCCTGGGATGTTTTCTGTCGTATTTGTTCCAATTCATTGTGCAGTTTGGTTTCATACTCTGTTTTATAATGATCTCTTGAAGACAATGGTGAAAACATAAGGAAATAATATTTGAATCATCTATTCTACCTTCAATCAACCCTAATAATTTTACAAAGCAGAAGTGGGAATTAAGTGGCTGTCCAGATGTTAATGGAGAGTATTATCCAGCATTATGCACAGTTAACTGCTGGGAATTGAATATCAACATTTCAATGGCTGTATGATTCCCAATCATGTTTTACGGGATCAGAACTCTCCTGTCCCCAGTTAAGATTACAAGCAAGACTAAGAACTTCACTCCTGACACGACAAAACAAAAAACAAAAAAAACAACAAATGAAGAAAAATAAAAGAAACTGAAACAGTTATACTTTTAAATAATTACAAAAAATTAAATACAAGATTGGTTATTGAATCCTCTCCCCCCCCCCCCCCCCCCCCCCCCCCAAGCACCAGGATAAAACCATCCTTAACAATACAGGCAGCCCTCCACATCTGCAGGGGTTAGCGGCACAGAATCCCAAATGAAAGTGAGAAAAAAGCAAATGACTATGGGAGTTTTTTTTCTCTCCAAGGAAGAAGTTTTCAAGGAAAACAGCAGTTGCTGCCTCTTCCCGAGACCAGTGGGGATACAGTAGCTGTGATCCCCTGGTAAGCCTGCCTTCTGAACTCATAGCAGTAATGTTCAGGAAGCAGTTTCCAAGGTAGGCATTTCTACTAAAATCCCAAGGTGAAGCAGATCAGCTACAATGTCCCTGGCAAACCGCCTCCTGAACTTGGATCAGCAAAGTTCGGGAAGTGGTTTTCTGCCTCACTCCAACAAGGCAACTGTGATTTCCCTGGCAACCACCTCCCAATCTGAAGAATAGTGAAGTTTGGGAATGGCTTGCAAAGGAGATAGAAGCTGGTTTGCCTTGCCCTGAAACTTTGGGGGAGGCAAAACAGCAGCAATCTATCTTGTAAGACCAGGGAGAGCAGAGGAGCAACACTGGCCTGCAAATTACTTCCTAACGACTCCCAGAGGTGGTGGCTGAGAGAAAGCAGTGGTGCTCTGTCTACCAAAGCCCAAGGCCGCTGCGTATACATCCAGAAAGCAGTCCCAGAAGTAGCTATGGTGGTCACTGTTTTTTCCCCTTACACAGCCCATGGTGGTCATGTAAATATGCATGAATTTAGAAGACCAACTGTATAGCTGTTTCAAATCCCCGCAGAAATAAATATGACAAGCCTTAATTTCTATGTGTAAATTCTCTGGAAAAATTAAGGAATTTTCTCATTTTTTCAGTTTACTTTAAGATTTTTCTGTATGTAGAAACTCAAATCAGAAGACCCTGAACCAAACTGCAATTATATGGGCCTGTTTACCCCTGTTGAACTAACCATAAACAACATGTTTGGCACAACATTCTTACACAATGACTCGAGACAAAACTGAAAGCATAAATTGACCTATATACCTGGAGTTTACATATTTCTCATACATTTCTTCTCTAGCCCTCTTGGCATCCTCTAGCTGAACCTGAATCCTTTCAAGGCGATCTTCTTCATGAGCACAGCGAACATTAAGTTCCATATTCTGACGGTTGAGATAGTCCTTGTCCTTCTGTAGCAAGGTAACTGACTGCTGCAAAGTTGTAACCTTTAAATTGAGAAATGATGAAAACAGTATGCAGTATTTCCTAGGAGATTTCTTATTCTCCGTTATTATTTAACTTTAGTTAGTAGTTTTATGAGAGCCAGCGTGATCTTGTGGTTTGAATGTTGGCTAGGATTCTGGAGACATGGGTTCGCATTCACGCTTGCCCAAGATCTAAATGATCTTGATGGATCACACTTTCTCAGCCTCAGGAGGAGGCAAAGGCAAATCTTTTAAACAAATTTTGCCAAAGAAGCCCTATGATAATTTAGCCTTAGGTTCTCCATAAGTCAGAAATATTATGAAGGCACACAGCACCCAGTTTTATGCAGGATCCTTTTGTGTACCTTTCAGGGTAGTTTACAAAAACAAGATCCACACTTGAGAATCCTAAATTTCATGAGACAGCATATTATTAAATTCATACTGAACTAGGAATCCATATCCAGAGTATGTCCTGCTTGGATAAATGTTATGGCAGCCATAAAGTCATGCCTCAGGTCATTCCGGACACTTATCCTGGGTGTACTCAGCACCAAATCCATGACAAGCTCTGTCAACTCAAGTAGGAAGAATGATGGGAAATAGGCAATGCTAAATCAGCACAATTTATCATCTGTCCAAAATGCTTAACACAAGTTGTAAACATTCCAGTCTGGCACACAAATCCAGACTGACTAACACTATGTATCACTATGTATTACTATGAAGCTTAAACAAAACAAACCATTCTAGGCAAAAAATCAACTATGGTTTAGTAGTCTTGAGTGTTGGACTAAGAACACCAGAAAACAGGAATGGCTATGGAAACTCAGTGGGTGATGTTGGGCAAATCACACTATCTCAACTATCTCGGCATCAAAGGAAGGCAAATGCTAATCTCTTTTGAATACATCTTCTCAAGAAAATCTTATGACACGTTCACTTTAAGGTCATCACAAGTTGTAAATTATTTGAAATCACACAACAAATGACAAAGGAATGTAACTGTAACTGAAACAAAAAGTTAGGGACTCAAAGAAAGTATTAACACTGCTACTTTGAGTATATGCTTGAAATAATAGACTAGCACCATCTCTAATGGTATTCCGCAAAAAGGTGAAGACCTGGCTGTTTGAGCAGGCGTTCGAATAATTAGTGCAATGATTGGTTAATGAACACTGGAATGGAACAATGGATGACGAATCTGGAACATGTTTTTGATGACGAGACGACAGTGAATGGGTATTGTAGTAACTGTTTATTAATTGTGTAATGTGTTAGGTTGTTAACTGTTTCTACACTGTAGCACTGAATTTTTGCTGTTCGTATTTGTTGTGAACTGCTGTGAGTCGCCTTCGGGCTGAGAACAGCGGTATATAAGTAAGGTAAATAAATAAATACATAAATAAAACTTTTGAATGAACTTTAAACATGGTTCTACCTCTTTTGAAAAATCATTTCGTTCTTTGATTAATGCTTTGTGAGACACTTCTAGTATTTCATATTTTCTTTGGAGTTCTGAAAAGTCGTGTTCAAATGCATCACGCTCACTGTTGAAACAAAAGCAAATTATGATCAGGACACAGTCTTGTTATGGGCATAATTTGTTAGCTGATGCAATTATGCCAATTGAGGTAATAGTAGCAATGCCAAATGGATGTGGTCATCACAGCCAGAGAAGACACTGCATAGAAAGTCATCTTACTCAACAGAGAAAGACATTTGTGCCCAATTTGCTGGGAAGCCAGTAGAGTTACTTCCTTTGGCAATGGAGATGGTTTATCACAGCACAGCGCACAATGCAGTGCCTTCAAGTGGTATTATACCAGTGCAAGTAACAGACCCAATGGAGGTCAAATTGCACACCTGTTAGCTTAATTTAGCCTCCATCAAGTACAAAGATTCTTAAACTTTTTTGTTGCAACGTTATAACATAGAAACAGTTGGGCACACATTCTTGAAAGTGCTCTGGTTGATACAGTCCCTTTTACACGTGAGAATTCCAACACAGTTTTTGGATATATGTTATTTAATTTCCTATGTGCATTTTCAAATGCAATTGTAATGTGGAAATAGGAAATACAGAATCCCAAAACAAGAAAGGACCGCAAAAGAAATCTAATCAGACCCCGGCCAATGCACAAAAGCCATTACTACAGGCCCCTTGAAAAGTGGCAATTCAGGCTTAAAAGACCATAACTGTATAGAACAGTTTCCTTTAATGCAGAGCATCTCCTACCGTCAGAGACGACAGGCAGGAGGTTCTGGAAGTTACAGAGGAGTGAGGAATTGGCAAAAATTATTTGTCCTGCATTGCTTCTGGTAAGATTATTCTGAGAAAACATCTGCTCAGGAGATATTACCCAAGCAGAAACAAATCAACCAGCCCATTAAATATTAAATATTTACTGAACCTACTAGATGGCTGATTTTTAAAAACTTAATTATTCAGTTATCAAACAGATAAGTCAATTAATAAGGGCAAACACTGAGGAAGCCCAAATATAATGGTTTTTTAGTATTTTAGAAGGAAGAGAACAAGTTCTTTTTAATGAAAATGTTCATACTTTCATGCACATCTTATGTATTGACATTACTGTCTATTAAAATATATATTCTGCCTTTTTCCCCAACATGAAAGCCGAGTGGGCTCAGAACACAAATTAAAGAAAAATATTACTATATATTATTATCATCATCATTATAATGAAGGGAGTTCAAAAACTATTATAAAGAGCAATCCTTTGTATGAATTGTTGCAAATTCATGAACAGGTTCCATTGAAAACACTATGTTTAAGATTATGTAAAGTAAAATCAAAATTCATTCTAGCATTTTATTTACTAAACTACATACCTTTTTACTTTATCATAATTCTCTTGCCTATAATCACCTTGTTGAACCATTTGCTTTGTATCAGCCAATTCCAGTGTTAAACGCTGACATCTAACTTCCAGTTCTGAACGACTTCTTCTCTCTGCTTCATAGTTCTGAAAAACATCCATAAAACGTAAAAGGGTAAATGAGACACTGATATTTATACTGCTCAAAAGTACTTTTGCTTGTCCTTTCATTATATTAAGCCCATTGGCAGGCAATGAATATCTGCTACTGAGGAAACAGAGTGCAAATTCAGAGTACCACCATGTACAAGAGGGCTGTGTGTCCTATAGAAAGTCAACATCTGTATAGACAGATGTTGTCACATAAATGGAAGTTGCCTAACATGACAGAACATCTTCTTTCTCCCTGTAGCCTTCCCCTCCATTTGCTGTGAGAAACTCCCAAAGAGACATACAGAGGGAAGAGAATCATTCCCTTCCTGTTCTAATGAAGAAAACAGTAACGTGAATGGGAAAAAAATAACTGGATGTTATCAATTAATTTTTACATAATTTAATCAAGTTATGAATAATACTGCTATAGTTGCTATAGTTGCTTGCAGTTCCTTTACTAGACATTATTTGGGTATCCACTGCTGGACAGATAATGATTCCACTCAACACACCCAAGTTTTCATCCGCTTCAAAAATTGCTATTTGAATCCGAGGCATTAGCATCCTCTTCAACCCAGCAGCTATGTTCAAAATTTAGTAAAGAAGCCTCAGACAAACACCCTGCTTTCAACCTGGAAGAAGAAGTGGTCTATTAAAAATAATACCCTTTTCTTAAGTACCAACAAAAAAGGGAAGGCACTTTCAAAACCTTGGCCATGCTATATTTTCAAGGTGTATCTGAATAATTGTTTTATTCTTGCAAAATATGAAAAATATATACAGGAAAGCCATTCATTTGTAAACACATATAAAGTAAAAAAAATGTGCTATGAGAGATTTGATGGATATTTGGTAAGCAACTCACTAACCATCACACACCAAGAGAAATTTTATATTCCTGTACTCATGGCCCTCCCTTCAGCAACTTTTAACAAACTCAAGATTACATAAAATAAAGGCATAGAGTTCAGACCCAGTAGCACAGGCATGGGTAAACTTTGGCCCTCTGGGTATTTTAGACTTCAACTCCCACAATTCCTAACAGCTGGTTGTAGCAGGCCAAGAATCAAATGCCATCACCACCCTTCCTATGGCAACGCTATTACAGGCCTCATTAGGGGCCTCTTAATCCACTTAACTTTCAACATGATATATGCCCCAGTCTGTCAGCAATACCTTTCTGTATTTTATACAGGACAAATAGTCTTTACACAAAAGAATAAATCCAACAAATCTGACAGTAGAAGATACAATATTCTAAAATTTTAAAGACTCACTGCAATAGTTACCATTAAGCAAAAGAATTTCAGAGGGAAAAGACAACATTAAAGCTTTGAATTCATTAGGATGTTCAATTCCATCTCCAGTGGTTTACATTGCGACAGGAAACCATCAGCATAATAATCTGTTCATTGGTTTATCAGCACCTGAATATCTCTATTATCACTAACATTTGTTTTTTGTTCATGGTAACTGTTAACTTGTATCACTCTGTACCTTTCTGCAGCTCCTTTCTTTCTGATTTCAGTTTATAATCCGCTGTCCTACTCTAACCAATATATGATAAACTGAATTACAGTATACTCACTATATCTACTGGACTAGAACCATTCCCAAAGAGTGAAAAGACAGGTTTGTAAATGTATTAATATGTAAATTTTTGTAATATACTATTTTAAAAAAACAACAACAACCTTATTCGTTGATTCTGTTTTATCAAATAGTTGCACAAAGATTTTTAAGTGAGGAATAAATACAAGGTTCATTATAACATCAAAAATGTCAGAAGTTGTGTGGGGGAAAAGCAATGCAGGGCTAAGAGTGCTTAACACAAGCTCTGAAAATTCACTTTTCTAGACCTGTAAAGTTGTGACTTGCACACTGTCTACTTCATTTCAATATAAACGAAAAGGTGAAATTATGATACTATTTTATTGCACTGCCTTTCTTCTATAATCTTATCATTACTAGTTGCTATCAAGTTTCAGAACAAGATCCTGCAACACTGATGTAGCAAAAATGCTATTAAGATACCCATGAGTATTCTCTAGTCACAATACTTTGAATCTGTTCCTAAAGACATCAGCAACCAATCACTCGCATTCCCTGTTTTAAAGGACAGAGACTATTTCTGAGTCACTTCGAGCTTTCCCATCTGTCAGTGTTCCACTTTCAGAAGCAGCTGTCCAAGATGTAAAGTGTACCTCTGAAAAAGTCACACTTAGCAGACAGCTAGAATAAGTCTCATGTTTATAGCAGAAGACACTCAAACATGTTTCTCAAAATCACTGACAGGAAGCAGAGTCAGAAGAAATAAGATACCTGCAACCCTTTTCAAGTAAAGATTATTGTAAAGATTTACATCAGGGTTTCTCTCTTTATTCTATAGTATGTGGTGGTACATAACAATACCTAGCACTGAGTTTTCCACTTCAGAATATTGTAGAATCAAGAGCAAAAACAGTAAGAAAAGAAGTGCATGCACTGGTATTAACTGTACCTTCTACTTCTCCTTTTAGACTACAGTCTGCTAAAGAGCTAGCATTATATTTTTCTTGGTGCCTTCTTTTATTTCCTTTCAAAATGTTCTATTTATGGGACTTTGTTAACATTTTTGGTGACATCTGGCACTTTAAAATGTATTGTGTTTCATTTGAAGCTTTCAGAGCCATATCCCTACCATCTTCACAATCTCAATTAATCCCTGCACTACTGGCAAGATTGCTTAACGCTATGTTCTCTGCACATATTACAAGCTCAATGAATATGCTATATTTTGATTTATTGTGCTTCTTACATGCTAAATCTCATCCTATGATTAGTTCACATATTCTATACAATCTTTCTGTACATCGCATGTAGGGCCTTTAAGGATGGGGTGGATTACTGACACACATTCAAATATTTGAACATTTGTCAGCCTTAAGCATTTAAAAAATAAATTTCACTAATCACCCTTAAAACTATGTACAGTATACATAATTTCCACCTATTTGCATATGTGAATCACTAGTAAAACAGGTGGATTTATTAGGCCTCGCTTTTACACTTTTGTTTTTCATTTACATAGGAAATTGGCCAGCCACAACAAGTTTAATAAATGTGATTACTTTGCAATATTTGTGAAACTCTGAAGTTCTCTAGACATTTGCAAACAAAGAGTTCTTGGTTGAGTGAAAAAACACCTTTTTCAGACACAGAAAGGTCCTATCCTTTGTTTGGGAGCACAACCGAAACCTGTCATTCATTGCTGAAATCAGTTCGGAAAACAGGAATGGGATATAAATCTAAAAATTTAATTTCCATTTCACTACAACACATATGTGAGAGAGATCTATTCCTCGGAAGGGAAATTCTCTTCTGGAAGAGTTATCATGGGAAAAGGGGCCTCCGCTAAAACTTTATCACCAATCCTTGTTTTCACAACAAGCCACATTTTTCAAAATCTAATTATCACAGAGAAAAAAAGTGAAGTGGAATCTTCTGAACAGGAACAGACAGCAAAACAAATACCACAGGGGTGTTAACCCTTCCTTTGCTATCCAAAGCTACAGTGTGAGTGTGTGTGTGCGTGTCTGGAGCTACAAACAAATTCAACTTAAGAATAAACCTACAGTACCCATTCTGTTCATAACTTGGGGACCGCCTGTACTATACTTTTTCAAGGGATTTCCCCTTGTCCAGACTAACCCTATTTGAAGTTTCAGTATACAGGAAAAGCTCAAATTTATTCTTCCCAACCTCTTGCAAATCTTTATAAGTTTTATAATGCTGCTATATCTCTACACCACTAATTTTTGGTTAAAGTTATATATTCTATACAATTTCCTAATAAAAGGATTTTATTAGCCCTTGTTGATTTAATTAGCTATTTTAAAATGCTTAACCTCTGCAGTGTCCTTGTTGAGATAACTATTATATCAATCCTAGTGACAACAAATGGCAACCCTTGCCAAGTTAGTTATGCAGAGCAAAAAGGAAAAGCACTAAACAAGGCAACTCCATGTCAGATGCTAAATATGCCTAAACATAACAGAAGAAGGGAATTTGGCCATAGGATGCATAGCAAATCAAATCTGTCTTTTATTTTTTACTACTAAGGGGCTTTGCAAATCTCCTGCAAGCTCAAAAATACTGTACATAACATATCATACTATAACTGCCTAAAATGCACATTAAATATGGTAAAGACAGCAAAAAACAAAAAACAAAATTAAAGATGAAAGAGTAGATGATGAAACAAATTTAAAAATAATACAATGATAACCTGTTATGATATCATCAAAACAATTCACTAAAAGCACTGAAGTGCAAGTTATAGGTTTTTTTTTCTTTTCCAAAACAGTTCAGCAAAATATAGGAAGTAACATGACACTTCCAATAATTATAGCAGTCTTCTTATGCCATATGCAACAGTAATAGGTATTCCACTATTGGTAAGCATTAGAAAAAGAGATTATTTAATGGGCAGACAGTTTTAAATTGAATGTTTATAATAGTTTTAATTGCTGTTTTAATTGTAACTTTGTGTTTTAATGTATTGTCTGGCATATAATGGTTGCCTACTGTAAGCTGCCATAAGTCCCTCTTCGGAGGTGAGGAGGACAGGATATAAATGCTCAAAATAAATAATAAATAAATATTTCCAAACCTATAGTTTAATTCATGAAGCAGCCAATATTTTTTCTAAAGGGGGTGTTACAAAAATAAACCCTAATTTGTATTAGAAAATATAAGAATTTTCTTTTTCAGGAGATAGACAGAACTCAAGATGTTCAATGAGCAGCAGAGATAGCTAAATTTTAGATTTGACACTTGCACAAGCTTTGTTCAAGAAATAGAAAGTAGGGAATCTAAGAAAAGCTATTCAGTTTTGGAACAACAAAATACATGTAGGAAAGTAAACAACTTTCACAGTGAATGAAATGAAGAGCAACTTCATTAGTATTCTTGATGGCACTACTTAACATCTGAAACTTTTGCCAGAAACATACCCAAACATTTTCTGCATTTTATGGACTAAAGGCAGGTTCAGCACCCTCTATTTTCCTCCAAATATGTCTTCAGCTATGATTATTTTATCCCTAAAGATCAAGCATAGGTTCTAGATGCGAGCAGACACAATTCTGCCATTTCTCAATAAACACTGACACCAAGTGGTAAGAAAAAGCAAATGTTCACATTTAGACATTTCTGCAACCAAGTCTAAAGGCATTTCATTTACAAAACACTTCCTGTAGATGTACATCTGATGGCTAAAACATATTCTCAGTATTATTGGGTGTGCACACACTAAGCAGTACCCTGGCACACAGAAATCTGCATTCTTTATTGTGCTTTAAGATAAGGCTATCATCACACATGATTCAAGTACAGCTCTTGATATAAGGCTAAAATAAAGGGGTGTCGAATTGTTGCAATGCTCATGAAATCAGGAGGCATTGGTCGTGATATGAAAGGGACTTGAGTGGCCTGAAACTTAACGAGATGTCCTACTCCCATCCTATTGTTACGTTTGTTTTTTAAATGTTTTCCCTGGTTTTGGGAGGAGGGGAAGCCCATCATGACTTCGCAATGAAGTATGGGTTTGTTTCTTTCCATGGAGATACACATACACACACACACACTCATATGAGGAGGATGTTTTAAAAGGAGAAGATGTTCTATGAAATCATCAACAGTAGCAAAATAATTTGGATTACAACTGGAAAAAAACTCTGATGTGAAGCCATCAAGATTAGGAAAGGGGTATAAACTGTTACAGAAAATATGTGTTCTTTGCAGGAATCCTTAATGACACCATGAAGTAATTTTATACTTCAGTATCAAAATAGTCCTTTCTAAAGAAAATATCCCCCAAATTAATGTCTGTTCTTTATGCCTACTACTCTAAAAATAACCAACACATTCACTTAGTTGTTGCAGAGTTCCTTGCAAGAAACTCTCCCATACTTGGCTCACTGTCTCTTGATCTTTTTATTCACTGACCTACTGCAGAGTACCAGAATGGAAAAATGCAACAGGTATTTGGACCATTTTTGTCATATTTCTTTTGGTGCATTTTAAATTTAAATTATCAGTATATGGCAGGTTCCTGTAAATGATAACTACCTACAGGTCTCAAGGAGATAATGTTATAAAAGGTCTAACTTGTAGGTCTAGTTGTATGTGACTTATAGTTCTGAAATATCTCATCTAGTAGCAGGAAGGTAAGCGTCACATTATCTAAATAATACCTGTAATATTATTTTTCTGGTTTATAAACAAGCAATAATTTTCAGGGGAAGTGCAGATCTTTTCATTATTGGAAGAACAAAATAATTCAAGTTATGTTTTTGTGTTTGTGTGTATGTTTGTGTGTATAAACCCAGTCTCTACTTTATGAGAAATAAGTCAGCTGTCTCAAATGCTTATTACAAGATGCACACGAGTTATTTGAAAAAATAATCGATTTATTGCAAAATTTAGTCATCATTCACTATGGGAAACAATTTCTCTAAGAGTAATAGGGTTGGGTAATATCAATTTAAATGTGATGGTAATATAAGACATGCAATAGTTTTATGCATACAACTTTTATTTACATATCATGATAGCAAGTAAGCTGCACAAAAACACCTATTTGCTTGCAGCTAGCAGCAGAGGCACTCATAATGCAGTGGCTTCACTGCTCTGTTCTGCAATACATTCACATCTCCTTCAGGTTCATGGATAACCTCCTCATGAAAAACATTTATCAGCCTTTTCTAAGTTTGTAAAAATCATCAACTAAAATGGGCAACTTCCCAGTCAAACTGGTAGTAACATGTTATAGGATAAATCTGGGACATTAAAACAGCAGTCCTATACCTACTTGCATATAAATCCTATTGTTATTCTCAGCTGAGGGAGGACCATTGAATCAAATGGATTTATCCATATGTTGACTTATTACTCAACAACTCAGGGCCTACACATGGGCTAAATTCCCAGCTTCACTTTAAAGCATCCTGTACCCACTCAATTCCTGTTAGTACTACATGCATCCATAGTAACCTGAAATCAGTTTGTTATTAGGCCACGCACTTTCTTCACCAGAAGTCAATTTGAAGCAAAAATATTTTTTTTTAAAATACTAAACCTATCAACCAATAGCCTTTTTTGTTTTACTTTAAGCATATAAACTACCTTACACTCTGATTGGATGTTTCCCCCATTCAATCCCACCCCCCTCTTTGTGTCCCAGTGAATAGGTGAGGGAATTTGAAATGTCTCTCGATACAGACAGCCCTGAGGAGGAGAAAGAAAAACAGTATTTCTCTTTCTAGTTTAAATCTTTAATTAAGCCACATTAACTCTGCCGGCAAGAAGAAAGGGGGAACATAGGATTGAGATAGAAAGAGAGCGGGGAGGCTGTCTGCAACTTTTTAAGTTCAGGTATTAAAATGTCAGGGTATTATGATGTTTGAAGGAACAGCACCGTTTCAGAAGTCCCGCAAGCCTTCCACCATTTGAATAAGCAGATTGGATTGAATTTGCAACCCTACAAACATGACAATGGTAATCTACTCAATAATCATTAAAGCAGGGGTCACAGCAGCCAAATTTCCTTTTTGTATGAAGGGACCCAGCTGATGTCCTGGCTACAGCATCCAGATAGCCCACCAGGAAGAAGAGCATCCCCCAGCTATGAATCTGGTTCATCAGAGAAAATATAAGTCCATACAAAACAGGTTGTGATCCCACATCTAGACTCACTTGTTTGCTAGCCCAAATAATTTCTGCCTTTTCTGGATTCAGCATTGATTTGTTCACTGACAACCAATCTCTCAAAACTTGCAAACAGCAATTCAGAATTTCTTTAGCCTCCTAAATGATCAACAGGTTCTTTAAATTCCATTATGAGGGAGCATTTTAAATGAAACATTGACATACAAACCTCTGTCAAACGTTTCAGCTGAGATTTGTAATCATCCAGTTCTTCAAATGCTGCTTCCTTCTTCACCTGAAGTTCATTTAGTTCATTTTTTAAAGGATGTATTGCTTCATAGAATCTAATCTAGAAACCACAAGACAAATACACACAATTATTTTTGGGAAAAGGACGACCTTTGAGATCATAACGTTTTGGAAAACCAGAATCTCCAAAACCATTTTGAAGCGTGACCTTTTGGAGATTAATCGGCATTTACACCATCTGGAATATCATAACCTTTTTGTAAAGTATGACCTTTCTAAGAAGAGCTAAAAACTCATTGAGTGAAACTTCTCTTTCGTGGTATATATGTACTAGTATTCATGCAAGGCAAATTAGGTTTCTCAGTTGTTAGAGTGATATAACTGGTTATCTCTTTGAACTGTTAGGACAAATATTATGCCAATGCACAAAATATATAGCAGATCTTCAGAAATGTTATATCAGTTGCCAAAAACCATCTACTCTCCCATAAAATATATCTGGTTTTAAATCATGCTCTCATGAGACAAAGATAAGTAGTCTTACTTAAAGATAACATAGTTGGTTTATTTACAAACTTCAAGTATTCAGCATACAGGTACATTACTTATCAGTTGAAATTTTAAACAGTAAGTTATCTAAGGCATTCTGTTGCAGTCTCTTCTCTTTCTAATGCATAACCAGCACAGTACTAAAAACACACATATACACACTGACTTCTAAAATGGAGTCTTAGTCTGAATAGTCCCAGATCAGATCACATGATCTTCAGCGCCTCCCACAAACAAACAATATAGTTAAAGAAAACCGCATACCAAATCATACACATAAACAATCTGAATTATATACATAACAAATAACAAGTATAGGAGGCTTATAGAAGGTTGCTATTTCCAACAGGTATTACAACCCAAAGTAAGTGAATGAATTATAAACATTTCAAATCTTTCTAGCCTTTATCTTATTTTCTTATTATGATTTTGATTGTGAAAACTTTTCAGGCTGGGGCATATCCTTTAAAATTCAGCACAAAGCACTTGAAAATAAGTGATGGGGAATCGGTAGCAGACAGTTTTAACTTTGTCAAGTGTCACATTCTTTTAGGTCCCTTTCACACAGCTCTATAAAATCCACATTGAACTGGATTATATGAGTGTGGACTCAGATAATGAAGTTCAAAGCAGATATTGTGGATTATCTGCCTTGATATTCTGGGTTATTTGGCTACGTGGAAGAGTCCATGGTGGTAATCTCCCAAGGATTTAAGTGCCACCTCTTTTTCTCTATTTTTGCCATCCACTTTTTTCTTTACTGCTATTATAGCAATAATAATAATAATAATAATAACAATAATAATAATAATAATAATAATCTTTATTTATACACCATCACCATCTCCCCAAAGGGGACTCGGGGTGGCTAACATGAGGCCAAGCCCAAATTACAACAAAATAAAATAATCAGTTCCAAAATGACATGATAGAGAAATGGAACACAGTGGGCAGGCAAAATGTACTAGAAATAAAATTGATTGAGCTAGGTAGAATATGTTTCTGAGGGAGAATGTGTTTCTGAGGGGGAAACTCAAAAGGGCCGAACAGTGGGGTTAAACCTTTATTGGGGGGGGGGAGTGCATCATGAGGACGGAGGTGTAGTTGGGACAGACTAAAAGTGGAATATATTGCTAGTCCCTTCTCTCTCACTTTCCTCTTTCCTTTCCAGCATATTACCATGGAAGCAACAATTTATTCTAAATAGAGGTGTGAACTGATCATTTTCACAGGGCTTTTGATAACAGGGCAAAAACCATGGGATATCCATTCTGATACTATACAATATAATCCCTGTATCTGTAGATAATACATTCCAAGGCCTCTCCTTGGACACCTGAAACTGTGGATAATAACAAACCCTATGGTTTTACTATAATTGGGCTGGCAGCATATCCTGGAATTGATCTAGAGAGGCCCACAAACACTTCTGAAGGGGGATATATTTGGAACATGGTGAGTGAAATGGTGGATATCGAATCTGTGGATAAAGGGGTTCCACTAACCAAGTAATAAATAATTTCATAAAACAAAAATACATAAATCTTACAATACATTAAGATTATCAGATTGATATTTTGCAGGTTAGCTACATACTGGTATAATTTTGAACACACTATTAGGTACAAATTAAACAAGGCTTACTCTGTTATACGATTGCAGACACTTAGGCTAGGATTCAAACATACCCTTTAGTTTGAACCAACTGTTCCATACATCTTATGGCCCCAGAAAACTGAGAAACTTGCTAATGTTGATATATATTTACTACACAGGCAATTTTGCTTCATTGATTCATTTTAATGTCTTACTCCCCACAGTCATAGTGAGCCTTCTAGCTAACAGACTGACACGTGTGATATTTCACTGAACAATTCATTGCATTATGAACTCGTTTACTTACAGATATATATTCAGGAATAGAGAGTTCATCTTCTGGGAGAGATTTTAGTTTTGTATAGTTTTCCTCAGTCATTTCAAGGTCACGCAAACTGCGGCGAATGTCTCCAGACCTCTCTCTTAACTGGTGATTGTTCTTTTCGAGTTGCTTCTGCCGCAATAAGATGGTTTCCATTTCTTGTTTCATTAACTCTTGGTGTTTACTATGTAAATAGTTAAGAACATTCGTGACTTAGAGGAAATTCAGTCTATGAAAGTGTTAACTTTAATTCCTTTGAATTCAGTGTTTTTGATACTGTAACAATGAATCCCTAAAATTAGTACATCTAACAATACTTAAATGTTAGTTTTTCTTCCTTATTATAGTTTATATAACAGGTACAGCATCATTTTATTCTTGAAAAGTTTGCCTGTAGAAGAAAAATAAGTGCCGACATTGGGTTCTAATCAATGCTGGTGCTGATTGAATGGAAGGAATTTCAACTCATACGAAGAGCTTGTTTTTACAGAGTATGTATTTTTGGTCAATGCAGACGCATTTTCTTCATGGACTACTAACATCGGATACGTCCCACAAAAATTAAGTATGTAGTACTTACTTTTTTTTTTTACTACATTAGCATCACCCACATTTCAACTTTTCATTTAACCATTCTGTATAATCTAAAATCTAAATTCTAATGTTTGTATCATTTGCCAGTCCAAGAGAAACATTGCTTCATATAGTCTGGTTTCCTTTTCAAGACAATCAAGGTTACTAATACTCCATGTCACCTGAAATCACCCAGACTATTGTACAGTGCAATCCTATGCATACTGACTCTGAAACAATTCTTCCTATTTTATTGGAAGTGTACACATAATTGCAAGCATTTACAGAATTCAGAGAAATGGTTCAGAAAATGCCAATAACCTAGAATTATGTGCACATGTTTTCTTTTCTTTATTGCTACTAAATATTTTTCTTTTCTTGGTTTAAAACAAATAATTGTTTATCTATCTCAGTGATGTTTGAGCGTTTAATTTAAAATCATAATAAAAAACTATGATTTGTCTCATATCAGGAAAATGGGGGAGAATGGGAATCCCCAGGTCAGGGATAACCATAGTGGCTTGAGGATCCTATTAGGCTATTTTTGTTTTGTAACTGGATGTAGTTACAAAACTACTCAAGACACACATTAACTGCTAATATATAAGCTTTACTTAACAGTTTATCTATTAGTAAGGAAGCAAAACCAAACTCTAATAGTGTAGAAAAATTTATTGGTGGTAAATGATGCAGCAGAGGGTATACAGCAGAAAAACATTCTAGCCCTTTCAGTGATGGAGTACAGCATCCTTTCACAGCCAGTGGTGGAGCTAGGCCCCTAAAACACTAATTAAACTCAGTCTCTACTGCCAGCTAGAGAGCCAAGGCAGTGTAGTGGGCAATTGGACAATGACTCTGGAGAACAGGTTTCAAATTTCCACTCAGCCATGGAAACCCATCAGGTGACCTTGGACAAATCACACTCTCTCAGCTTCAAAGGAACGCATGAACAAAATGCCTCTGAACAAATCTGACCAAGAGATTCTCACAATAGAGTCACCTTTGGGGTGCTGTAAGTCAGAAGCATTTTGAAAGCACAGAACAACAAATTGCTTCCTGTTACTTCAAGTTCCCATGGCTGTCTGTGGCATCCTGGATTGGGGTGATGGAAGGTGGGCTCCCTAGTGTTATATAGTGCGAAGGTAAACAAAGAAATGCAAAGCACACAGGTGTGATCCATTTCCCCATAGTTATAAAAACTGTGCAAGCAGGTTAGTAAGAGTGGAAAATTCACTGCCCACAATCTGTTCCCAGCTTTCCTCTCTTTCCCTAATCTCAAACCATCAGACTTATGCAACATGGATATAATAAGATCACGAATACAAATGCATGCCTCTGTCCCACTAGAGAGCGGGAAACCTTTGTCCATGGTGACAATAAGAACTCTTAAACCCATCTACTTGGTGGCAGAGATCCCACTCACTAAACAGATTCATTCACATAAATTAACCATGGTTTGGCATCACATTTGTCACATCTTGAAGATCTAAAATGTAAATATATAGCAATAATACCATTAACAAAACAAAACTTGCAAAAGAGATTGACAGTCAACTATGATTTAAAGAGTATACTCATTCATTTTCTATTCATACCGAGCATCTTCTTGCTGTAATGCCAATTGGTTATCTAGTCGTAAAGATAGTAGCTGCTTCTCATGAAGAGCATCATTAAGTTTCTCTTCCAATTCTTCAATCTAAAGCACATCATTAAATAGTAAGAAAACAGATTATTCTTTAAAGTACATCAAAAATCATTTCGTCGTAAGATTTCAGATTACCATATGTGAAAAATAGGATATTTGCAAGCTTAATTATAATACTAGTTAGTTAGATATCAAGCATCTCCACCTCATCAATTACTTTTTTCAGACTGGACACTGTCCATTCTCGGGTATTTCAAACCATTCACACTAGAGGAGAATTAATGAATAAATGAAATTTACGGATTCTGTACACTCATGTACAAATCTAGACATTTTAGTCAAAATATCAACCCCAAAATTCTGAGTGAGTATTGCACCTTAACTCTTATCAGAAAAGGAACCATCCCCTTCTTTGAATAGAGTGATGAAAGGCGTAAGTTTAGTCATAAGAAAAGTGCCAATTCTCTCTACTTTCCCCACCATAGTGCTGTTTCTGGCTTTATTAAATACCTGGATGGGGAAATGTTGGCAGCAGCCAGAAGGAGCTAGCCTCCTGAGTAAGCTGTAGTGCTTTTCTTCTCCACAGAAGAACCTTTGACTTATCCACAGATCATATCAAAATCCATAATTTTGACCTCAAAACTCACTTTCTACTTATTCATGAAAATAATAATAATCATAATAATTTTACCTCTTACATGCCTCTCCTCATGGCTTGAGACGAGTTACAAAACAATTAAAATATATAAACATATACATAGCTATTGTGGACTTACTAAGTTCTTAATAATTTAATGACATTACTCTAGTTTGAACAAAGAAAGGAACTGAGTTTTCAGTAATCTCATGCATGCAAAATTGCAGTTATTTCAAAATCCTTTTGCAGTTGTTTGTATTCAAAACAGGAAACATTGTGGATATGCTAATAGGGAAGACACTTATGTTGCTACAGTCCTATAATGCATTTCTTTAGATGTTCCACAAAATGAGTTATTATATAGAGTTTCTGTTTACAGAGGAAAAATAAAGTAATAAATAATATGATGGAAAAGAGACAAGGGGAGCCCTGGTGCCGCAGCAGGTTAAACCGCTAAGCTGCTGAACTTGCTGACTGGAAGGTCAGCGGTTCAGATCTGAGGAGCAGGGTGAGCTCCTGCTGTTAGCCCCAGCTTCTGCCAACGTAGCAATTCGAAAACATGCAAATGTGAATAGATCCATAGGTACTGCTTCTGCGGGAAGATAATGGTGCTCCATGAAGTCATGCCGGTCACATGACCTTGGAGGCATTGACTGATAATGCCAGCTCTTCAGCTTAGATATGGAGATGAGCACCTCCCCCCAGAGTGGGACACAACTAGACTTAATGTCAAGGGGAAACCTTTACCTTTTTAAAGAGACAAGAACTTATTTTCCTATATTTAACAATAACTTCTGAATATAGACACCAATATTAACTTTGACACATCTCTAAAATATGTGAACATGCACACACAAAAATAGCTCTTACTTTTGTCAGGTATTCCACCTTCAAGTTGTCTAACATCAAGTTCTTCTGGGAAAGCTCTATTTTCAATAACTGGAGATTATGAAGCAGCTCTTTCCGCTCAATAAGTTGTCTAGTGATTTTGACAGAACCTTCCCGATCTTCCGAGGAAGAAATATCATCTGTAGGTACTGTAGTCTCCAAACTAATATCTTCTGATTCCAAAGAGCTGGAAACATTAACTTTTTTAGACTCCTTGGACCCTTTCCGTGACATTTTCCTGACAACTTGTAAAGATTTCCTGCAAACAATTCAAGAACCTGAGAAGTTTTTTTTAAAAAAACATCAAAACAAAATAAAACAGGTGAAGTGCAGAAAAGTGAAGTACAAATAAGAAAAAGGTTCTATATATTTCATTTGCCTTATATAACATCTGAAACATTGCTTGAGCATTTTCCACTTCAATCCCCTTTAAATAGTGACTGCTGTTAGAGAAAACTACCCTAAAATATAGCAGAGCATACAAAAACAAACAGGATATTTAAACTTGAGCAACAGCTTATTAGCTAGCAGAGTATGAAGTGCTGTTGGTTGCAGCTGTAAAGTATTTAAGAGCAAAGATGCAGAGTCCAATCTTAAAAATCACAAAAGGCTTATTTACAATAATAAACAATAACTGTGTTTCTTAATAGTAAAGAACTGGGTCTGAGCTGCTCTAATACCAATCTCTACTAATGTTTCAAGAGAGGGGAAAAACACCAATCACTACATCTCTCTCTGACACACACGCAGAGAGAGATCTCAAAGCACACAGTACATACACAGATGTAAGACAACAGAAGGCAAAGTAAAGGCTTGCAGTAGAAAAGTATTCTACACAATCAATCAGAATGAGAGCAGAAACAGAGAGGAGAGAAGAGATAAATTCCCAACTATCATACAGTAGACAAGGGGGGATGGGAAACCCTTAGCCCAGTGGTTCTCAATCTATGGGTCCCCAGATGTTTTGGCCTTCAACTCCCAGAAATCCTAACAGCTGGTAAACTGGCTGGAATTTCTGGGAGTTGTAGGCCAAAACACCTGGGGACCCACAAGTTGAGAACCGCTGCAGGCTATTCTAAACTAACTAACTTGTTCCTCATTGAGGACTTGAAATGGGGTTGAATTCCAATAACTACCTCCTGCAAAATTCTGGGGTTTGTAGTTTTGTATTTTGCCCAAGGCTTCTCTGGATGAGCAGTTTTAAGGCTTCTTCCTAATCGACAAACTCCAGAATTCTGCAGGAGGCAGGCACAGCATTTAAAGTGAACTAAGGTGAAAAAATGCTCCAGTGTGATAAGGCCCTCAGTCAAACACACACATTTCTGGACTGCAAATTGTATGCCTTGTAAAGATTAAATTCAAGCATTGCAACTAGTAATTCTTATTGCTTAAAAGCAGCTTATTTGTTTGTCGAAAGTGTTTCTTAATAAATGTGTACGTTCCTATCCTGATGTTTGTTCATTTTTAGTGCTGTCATTGACTGAGATATATACACACACATACACACACACACACATATATATACACTATACACACACACACACACACATGTTTAAAGAATTTCTGCAGTTAAATAAACACGCCTTTGGTATCATGTTCATAAATTACCAAACACTGAAAACCCTGGCTTATCTCTCTCCCAACAAGAGAGGCATAAACCCAAGAAAAGAACATGGTTTTGGTTGAGTGTGGGCCATTCCAGACAGGCCCTATATCCCAGGATCTGATCCAAGATTGTCTGCTTTAAACTGGATTATATGAGTCCGCACTGCCAGATAATCTGGGATAAACAGAAAACCTGGTTGCTTCTGGAGTGTGGAGTGTGTGTGGGTGGAGAAGTGTGTGAAGAGCACACCACAAGAACTACTGCAATGCAACCTGAGCCCTGCCACATGCACAATGGACCTTCTTATGGCAACACCAGAGGCACTCCAAGTGGTCAGCTACTGGTCAAAGGATATTTAATCAACTACCAAGTTTGCAAACTTTGTGTTTTGTTTGTTTGTAATGCAATACAACTGTTTGGTTCGCTCCTGACACGACAAATAAATAAACAAACAGAAAACCTGGGATATAGGGCCTGTCTGGAAAGGCCCGGAGAGGAAAACAAGCCAGAGCTTCTGCATCAAATTATAACCTGTGCCAAATATGTAATGAAAAGGGCCAGATGGTGAAGCTGGCCTCAAACCACCAAGAGGCAGTAGAAAAAGAGGAAGGCTGAGGATGGGGCCAACCAAGGTTTGTAAGACCTAAACAGAGATTGCGGGGTGCCTCTCATCTGCAAGGTCGCCTGTGTCGAAGCCCACTTACCCGCGCCCAGCATAGGAGTGCCTCGCCTCTCACTTCAGGGTCTGCCGAACAACCCTCTGCGCATGCTCCACGGAACCGTCGCCGTGGCAACCGAACGAACGCCGCTGAGAGTGCTGCGAACCCTTCCTTATTCTCCCGCCCTTTCGCACGGCATGCCGGGATGCGCGCTTCACCCTAGAGATAGAGAGCGAGGGGACAGAAGAACATCACTTATGGAAGGGCGAGAAGACGAGGCCCGGTGCCTGAACAACCAAGGAATCTAACTTCCTATAGAGAGGAAACGTCAGGCCTGGCTCCCTCGGGACGTCACATAGGCGGTTCTCCAAACGCTTTCCAAAGGGAGGACGGGCTTCTATATTTTTAGGTCTATGTTGCCCTTCTGGCCTAGCCTAGCGCTCTTTCTTTGGTGGGCAGTACCCCGCGCAGTGCATTCTGGGAGTCTCTTTCGCTTTCAGAGAGTAGAAGGGAGGGGGAGAGAGAGCCGGTCAGTCAGTCAGCTAGTGAGTCGGTTGGTTGCGAGGATGCTGACCTCGCGCACGTTCCTGAAGCGCACGCGGGCCGGCGCCGTCATGAAGGTGGTGCGCGAGCACTACCTGCGCGACGACATTACCTGCGGGGCGGCCGCGTGCGGGCTCTGCGCGCCTCGGGAGGAGGAGCAGGAGCAGGAGAAGGGGCCGCCTCGCCAGGCCCTGCTGGAGGCCCAGCCCAGCGGCGCCGCCAGCAGCCTCTGCCCCGGGCCCCACTACCTCCTCCTCGACACCAATTTGCTCCTGCACCAGGTAGGACACGAATCCTTCCAGTCAGGACGGAAGGAATGGAGTTTGGCCCCATGGCTTGGCGGTATGGCATCCAGGGAGTTGTATTTTCACAAGGCCTCTTCGGCCTCACAAGGCACTTTGGTCTAGTGCAGGCATGGGCAAACTTGGGCCCTCCCTCCAGGGGTTTGGGACTTCAACTCCCACAATTCCTAACAGGCATGGGCAAACTTGGGCCTACCGGCTGTTAGGAATTGTGGGAGTTGAAGTCCCAAACACCTGGAGGGAGGGCCCAAGTTTGCCCATGCCTGGTCTAGCGCCTCCCATGTTTCCATAGTGTGGAACCAGGGCAGTTCAAGTTGTGTCAAAATCTAGCATATACCCCAAATTATCAAAACAGATAATCCCCATTATCTGCTTTGAACTGGATTGCATGGGTCTACACTGCCATATAATCCAGCTTGACTTGATTTTATATGACAGTCTAGAAGGGGCCAGGGCCATCATCTGTTGGAAAGGATTGGAAGGCTCTCAGTCTGATTTTTCAAGAGTTTCTCTTCTCCTTTGGAAAGGTAAACCCTTTCCTGTCTTTGGCCAGAAAGAGGTTCAGTGTTTTCTAAGAAAAGGTTAGGAGACCAGGGTTCCATTCCCTGCTTGGCCATCCAACATATTTATATTAAAAATTTTGTGTTTTTGTTCTGAAACTCTTTAAACTACAGAAAAGGAGATTGGCCCTGGATATGAGGAAGAACTTCCTAACTGTGAAAACTGTTCAGCAGTGGAACTCTCTGCCTTCTTTTGAGACTTTTAAACAAGGCTGAATAGCCATATTTCAGAGGTGCTTTGAATGTGATTTTCCTGCTTCTTGGCAGAATGGGGTTGGACTGGATGGTACAGGACACCTCTTCCAACTCTATGATTCTTACCAGTTGTAAAATCATTATGTGATCACCTGTGGTTTATCTGTGGTAAGGTAGTCAATGATTCTGGAGACTAGGGTTCGATTCCCTGCCTTGCCATCCATAAAAACCCACTGGGTGATCTTGGGTGAATCAACACATGTTCATCTGCAGAAAGCCCCATGCTAGGTTCATCCATAAGTCAGAAACAACTTGGAAGACTTCCAACAACAGCAACAGGGACAGCGTTCTGTTTCTTCAAGAGCTTGTACTATATTTTCCCATAGCTAAGCGACTAATCTGTATTCTTCAAGTCATGTGAATGTGGGATAGCTGTGTTTATTTTGTTTTTAAAATGCATATTTAAGTACTATCTTAATATTAAATTGTAGTGATGGGAATGTGGAGTGAACACAATATTGAAGTCACATGTTTAGAATGAGGTACTGGCTTAAATCAGCTGAATTCCTGCATGAATAATGTTTACACTATATCCAATGTGTCAAATAAAAAGATGTAATAAGTCCAGGAATGTATCTCCTATGGATATAAGGCCCAGAAAGCTCAATGAAATGGTCACTATCAGTCACAGACATCTTGGTAACAAACAACAGCCACAACAAATTATTTCATTATCTGATCTGATATTATTATACCTAAATTTAGCTGATTAATTCTGTTGTGATGTGAGTGGGCGACTATGATAGGTCAAAAGTGGCATACATTGCCAATACTGAGCATCAGAGTTTTTAAATTTCATTTTTATTTTTCAATAACACAATAACCATCCAGATTCCTATGACAAACTCCCTGTAGTTACCTGTCTGAAATGTCTTAATAGTTTGATCAAACATTTTTGTATGTATTTGGGTCTTGGTTGAAAACTTTTAAATATCATGCGTGTGTTCATGTAAGTGTATGTACTGTACTATGACAAAATGGATTGAAACTTTTAAAACACATGTGTAGAATAAAGATATATGAACAGCAATTTATACTTGAATGAACTATATTGTACACCTGAAGGTCCATTATGTACATTGCTAATCTTGGTTGATAGTGTGTAAGTGTTATAATTTTTTCATGTGGTATATTTTCTTTCTAGATTGATATTCTTGAAGATCCTGTTATTCGAAATGTTATCATTCTTCAGACAGTTTTACAGGAAGTAAGAAAACGAAGTGCACCGGTGTACAAGAGAATAAAAGATGTGATAGCTAATCCTGAAAAACATTTCTATGCCTTCACTAATGAACATCATAAGTAAGTTTGTAAAGTTGTATTCTCCTTTGTTCTGTGGTACTTTTTTCTTACAAACAGATTAGCACTCACTTTGGTTGCAATACAGAGAATTTTAACATAGCTCCTATGCATGGATGACATGCACATTTATGAAGGTTTCCATTGTTGTCTTCACGTTTTTGTAATGAGGAGACCCCGCTGAACTGCTGAACTTACTGACCGAAAGGTCGGTGGTTCGAATCCGGGGAGCAGGATGAGCTCCCACAATTAGCTCCAGCTTTTGCCAACCTAGCAGTTCGAACATGCAAATGTGAGCAGATCAAAAGGTACTGCTTTACTATGCCATTTAAAAAAATTGAATATAGATTAATATTCTGTGTTCCAGTAATATATATGCTATAGGCATTCTTCAACTTCTTTTAAAAAATTGGTAGCTAAATTGTTCTTTCCTTACATTTCCAGAGAAACATATATAGAACAACAACAAGGGGAAAATGCAAATGACCGCAATGACAGAGCCATCAGAGTAGCGGCAAAATGGTACAATGAACACCTGGCAAAGTTACAGACTGAAGAAAAGATTACAGTTATCTTGCTCACAAATGACAGAAAAAATAAAGAGAAAGCTGTGGAAGAGGGAATAACTGCTTACACATGTGAGTCTAGCCTTCAGCAAGAACACTTGCTTGCACACTTTGGCTGAGGTTATGTTTTATTTTGGTAAGGAGGAGTGTCCAATGGCTAAATGGCTGTGGATTGAAAGGGTTTCAGTTGATGACAATAAAAGAAAGGAGAATAGTCAAAACAACACTGTAATGGTATTAATGGGGAACTGCTCTAGATTTGTCAGCCATGTCTCCCCTGGACCTTAATGGACTATACTCTCCAGCTCTCCAAATGGCAAACCCTCCCAAGATTTCAGGGACACAAAATGCATTTTAGATATAAACCTTAGGCCAGGCTTAGACCGCAAAACAATTTTAATAAGCAAAGTAGCCAGTGTGTGATTTTCTGAGAGAGGAATTTTTCTAGATTTCAGAAGTTTGGATGGGGTGCCAGGTCTGTTTGTGGAGTGAGGGTGCATGTCCTTCATTTGCTTTTTGACTACTCAAGTATATAAGCAAAGCAGCACAATTGTTATATGTGCTTGTAGAAAAGCTGAAGTGAGGGAAAGGTGGTTTAAAATGGATTTGGTAACATTGTGCTCTCAGTGACCTAAGTGGAATTAGTAGGCTTGGGCCCGTTCATGGCAGAGTAAGAAATGATGGCTTTTTCCCATTTGCACATGGATGGCTCTCACTTCTGTGAGTTTTATCTCCAGAATTCTAGTGGTCTGAGTTCAGATGCATCTCCATTGTTGGATTGGAATTCTAAAAAAGAAGACCTGATTTTTTGGAGGAGTGGATCTATCTGCTTGTTATTTTATGGAATAGATGCTGTGGAGTGGGATAGGTTTTTTTTAATGTACACGCACTCATGGAAACCAATTTCATCTCTGCTATGTGATCTTTTTTCTCATTTTTTGTGGGAAAGAACAGTGCAGGTGGCTTTTAGTGGAAAGGCAAGCACTTTATATGTATTCAGAGTGCATGTACTATTATGTGCCCTATGTGACGCAATGGGTTAAGCCCTTGTACTGCTGAACTTCTGACCTGAAGGTTGGTAGTTCAAATCTGCAGGATGGGGCGAGCTCCCACTGTTAACTTTAGCATTTGTCAACCTCAGAGTTCAAAAACATGCAAATTTGAGTAGAACAATAGGTACTGCTTTGGCGGGAAAGATGCTCCAAGCAGTCACACGACCAGGAGGTGACAATGTAGGCTCCTTGGCTTAGAAATGGAGAACAGCACCTCTTCCAAAGCCAGAAATGAGCACCTCCTCCAAAGGCGGAAATGAAAGGAGAAGTCTTTGCCTTGTTTATGTTTGTGTGTCTCATTGTATTGTAACAATTCACTGAATGTTTGCCGGTATCTGTTTATACTATAAACCACTCTGAGTCCCTCGGGGAGAAGGGAGGAAGATAAATAAGGTGTTGTTATTATTCATGGTTTATGATTGCCATTTTCATTTTATTGTTCTGTAGGTGAAGAGTACATAAAGAGCTTGATAGCTAATCCTGAACTTGTGGATCGACTTGCTTGCTTGAATGATGAAGGGGTATGTTTCCTTAACATTACTTTTCAGTGAAAATTTTTAGAGCATGAATAATACATAGTATGGCTTTCCAGTATGTTGTATTTTATTTGTTATGAAGGTTTACAAAATGTGTCTTATTTTGTGTTTTCCCCCCGAAAAGTTACAGTTGAATGCTATATTGTTACCTGCTGAGCTGAAACGTCTGTTCACGTTACTTCTTAAACTTTTCCAGATAGCACCCTTTTTGTCCTGAGAAATGTTTATGTGACCTGGGTGTATAGGTATACAAAATAGTATAAAAATCAAACATTTGGTGAGAATAAATGAGCATTTGCAAAGTTTGCTAAACAGACTTATTTTCCTTTTTATAAGGTACAACTGAGGCACTTTCTACAGTGTCCAATGTAAACACTGCACAACAGATTTGTGTAAATGTCTAAAACAGCCCTAGGTGACATTCAGAAAACATGTATTGTTGCCAGTTTTTTTTTGGGGGGGACCCTAACACTGAGTTCAGGTGACCCTATTTGTAGTTGGGACCCACAGTTTAAGAAACAGTGTCCTAGCTAACCATTTCTTTGTTTGTGTATATGATTCTTACAGAATGAAATAGAAAATGGAAGGATCATTTTCTCAGAGCACCTTCCACTTAGCAAATTGCAGCAGGGTATAAAGTCTGGCCTCTACCTTCAAGGAACATTCAGAGCTAACAGAGATAATTACCTTGAAGCTACAGTTTGGGTTCATGGAGATGGAGACCAGAGAGAGGTTTGTTGCATGATTGCCTGTGAATGTCTTTCCTGGATAAAATATGTATCTTTTTGTCTATGGGTGCTATCATCTGTATTTTTGTCCCTTTAAATGAAAACAATACAGGATGGGAAGAGTGGCAGGAATTAAGTGTACATTTTGTTTTTATTTAAATCTCTAATGATTTGAATTCTAAAAATTCTTTCTTGTGACTAATTCATGTTAAGATTGATGGGGCTTCTAAATAAGCATTCTTGGGTTCATGTTGTAAGATACACCAGTAGATCTTATATATGAATACTGCTTGATTTTTGTTTCCAACACTTCATCATGTGCCATTTTGTATAAGCTTCTTTCACTTCAATCTCTCTTTGAAGGCATCATTTCAAGACTATGTGGTTAATTTAGTTTACAGCCAGGAATTTCTTGGCTATTTTTATTAGATTATTATGTGATTTCATAATCTTTCTTTATTAATGTTTAATTTTTTTTAAAAAATTATGATGACAGGTAATAGTACAGGGATTGAAAAACCTAAACCGTGCAGTGCATGAGGACATCGTAGCAGTGGAACTATTGTCCAAAGATGCCTGGACTGCACCATCCTCGGTGGTCTTACTTGATGATGAGGGTCAAAATGAAGAGGATGACCAAGAAAAAGAAGAGGAGAAAGAAAGCAGTGTATGACATGAACATGCCAGGTTTCTCTCTTCTTCAGCAATTCTTTGTCTCATTTGTGCAGTGAAATCAGCCATTAGTTATGCATGCATCCTAGTTTCATTTTGTACTTGGTTACAAGGAAGATGTGAATATCAGATTAAAAATGCCTCAGACTTTTCTGCATTGCTGAAAATTCATCCTGAGGATTGTTCTTAAAATATTTATTGTTTAGGTTTTAGTACCTGTGGGAATGGACTTGAATGTTTGGAAATGTTTGGTGAATCCTTTTAGATAGGTTCTCACTAAAATTCCCAGATTATGAAGTGTGTGTGTGTGTGTGTGTGTATATATATATACACACACTGCATACATAAAACACACAAAATTTGTAAAATTATTTTCAATTCCTTTTATTAACATTACAGTTTTCCCACCTTAATATAGAAAAAATTCATAGAGATATTTATTTCATTCTCTGATATTCTTTGGAAGGTACTAGCTTGAAACTTTGATGCATAGAAATCTTACCCATTTGTCTTGTTTTCTTTTAATAGTCCTCACTCTCTTTTAAGTTATCTCTTTAGTTTTTATTGTTTTTCTGATGGAAGCATAATTCTTAACATATTGCATTTACAGCAAGTTCATGTTCTTATTGTCAGTACAATTAAAAATATGGATCTGGTCTTGCTTTGGATTGAATCATAAGTGATCAAGGTTTACGCTTAAGTGATGTCATAGTGTAGCCTGTGACATGAGATGTGATGATTTTAAGATTAGAGCAGAACATATATTAGCTGCCTGGTTTTCAAAGTCAGATGCAGATGTTTTACATCATTTTTAAATCTAGCTAAAGACGTCTGTGAGCAAGGCTATGTTGCGACCAACTGGCAAAGTGGTGGGAATTATAAAAAGAAACTGGAGACCTTACTGTGGAATGCTTTCTAAATCACAAATTAAAGAGGTAAGAACAACACTCATTACAAACTTAATTTCATTGTCGGTTTTAATTCTTAATTTTAATTTTAATATAACACACTGCTGCTTTTTCCAGTCAAGGCGGCATTTATTTACACCAGCTGATCGCAGAATCCCTCGGATTCGAATAGAAACAAGACAGTCTTCAACGCTTGAAGGACAAAGAATAATTGTTGCCATTGATGGTTGGCCCAGAAGTTCAAGATACCCTCATGTAAGTTTGAAATAAAACATACGTGTTCTTTGCTGTCTCTCAAGGTCAGCAAATCAGCTTGCTAATCCAGTGGCTATGGGAGAAAGCACAAATGATTTTCATGAAATGCATGTATGGTGTAGTTGGCTTTGTGTTGCCGACACAGCCATTTCTCAGATCCTGTCAATTTGTCACTGTTCTAATTCCACCTACCATGGAACCTGAGGTGTTCTGGTCCACATGCATAGTAATTTATTGTACTCGATTAGCAAAACAGCCTGAGAGTATGTAGTTTGTGGGAAATTTTCACTATGTTAGCTCTGAGTCATTAAGTTTACTGTTAGCATCACTGATATTGGATCTAAACAACTTAGTTTTTTTGGGGTTTATTCCCAAATTAGTGCACATAGTTTGGAACTCAAACAGGCCTTTGCTTTTAATAGTTTTAATATTATTTTTCCCCAAAGTGGTTCTGTTTCAAAATATTAAGAAATATTTTGTTCCAGGGTCATTTTGTAAAGAATCTTGGAGCCGCTGGGGACAAAGAAACCGAGACTGAAGTCCTGTTGCTTGAGCATGATGTCCCTCACCAGGCTTTCTCACAGGCAGTTCTCAGCTTCCTTCCTCAGATGCCCTGGAGCATTACTGACAAGGTACCAGAACAAAGTAAAATAAAATATATGCAAAAAAACTAATTAATTAGCCTACAAACAGACTTCAAGCTTGTAATGAACAACTGCTTTACATTTTACTAGAATTCTGTAAGCATCTGTTTAAGTTTAAGGAATTCTCGGAAAAATATTTTTGCCTACCCAAACTTGATGTTCACAGCCCTTCTACATCACATGAATCAAACACTAAGCCTGTGGGCCAAATCCAGATGCTTGACTACAACTACTGTATTCCTTATCATTAGACATCATAACTAGAGCCGATAGGTTTCTCTTCAGATCGTATAAATCTTTCGCCTAAAGATAGGAGTCATGATACAGTAGCATCTGGAAGGTACAGTTTTTTCTGTTTAGTTAGGAGAGTGGGATTTAACTTTAGATACAAGTCTTGTGGATATGATGTCTGACATTAAAATGCCCTTTAACTTTTCCCCAACCTCAAAGCCACAAGAGCTGTTGGGTTGTCTGCATGGTGGGAGCTGTTCAGTGACATCTGGAGACTCAAATTGAATAAAAATTAAAGAACACTGACCACTATGTTAAAAAAAATTATAGTTGGCCATCTTTATTGACAGATTCAATGGCCCTTTGAAAGCAGCCATAAGGCTGATGTGGCCCTCAGTCAAAATGAGCCTGCCACCCATGTTCTATGCTAAGCTGTCTTTATTTGAGGGATATAATGTAATTAAAGGCAGACAGGAGTGGGAAAAAGTTTTATAAATATCAGATTCCACTCTTTTTTTTGAATCTACTGTGTTATTACTTGTGCTTATTTGTGGTCTATCTTTTAATGTACTATACAGTTGGCCCTTTACATTCCTGCAGGTTAGGGGCAAAGGACCCCTGCAAATGTGAATATCTACTGGACCCCCTCAAAGGTGGAGAGGAACCAGTAAACTGTTTCTGTTCTCTTGTTTGGCCATTTAAACTAAGGTTGCACACAGCTATACTTTCCTAATGGCTCATGTCAGCCTAAGCCAAAATTATTTTTCTTAAGAATTTAATGTGTCACAAGATTATACCTCAGAGATTTCATGGTTACTTGTTCTAATAGTCAGTTTTATTTTAATTAGGAAAAGCTAATGGTGAAAACTTAGTTTTGTACTAATTTTAACTTGGGGAAATTTTTCAGGACATGAAATTTAGAGAAGACCTGAGATATTTGTGTGTGTGCAGTGTGGATCCTCCTGGCTGTACTGATATTGATGATGCATTGCACTGCAGGGACTTGGAAAATGGCAATCTGGAGGTACAGTCTTCTGAAATTGTCATTAATGTACACTTTTATATATTAAAACCGTCTGCTACATCTTGTGTATTCTTGTGTATTCTGTATTCTGTTTTCAGTTTGAAGAATAAAAACCCAGCTGTAGAAAATAACATCCATAACCCTCTAAGAAGTAGATAGTTTTTTCTCATGTGGCTGCATTGCCCACATTCTGTACCATGTCTTATGTAACTGGCAATTTTTCAATCAGTTAAATTCAAAGTACAGCAGGGGCAATTTTGTATGATGGTTGCCTTGCTTGTTCTTTTTTTCTCCTGCAACCTCCCATACTGCTGAAACCCTTTAGTGCAGTGATTCTCAACCTGTGTGTCCCCAGTTGCCTTGGCTTTCAACTCCCAAAAATCCTTAACAGCTGGTAAACAGACTGGGATTTCTGGGAGTTGTAGGCCAAAACACCTGGGGATCCACAGATTGAGAACCACTGCTTTAGTGTTTCTATAAAATATTTTTGGGGCCAATGTGGGGGGGTGGAGTGGAGGAAGGGAAGAGCACCATTCTTCTCCCATTTCACAATTAGCAAATGTTGAAACCTGGAGAAGTACAGGAAACTTGAGCTTAGAGATGGGGTGAAGATCTGTATTTATTTACCTGTTAGTCTCATTGAAGTCCACGGGAATTTTTGCTAAGATGGCATGTATTGGACTACAGTTTATCAAAGATTGCACCAGTTACCCATAAATACTGAGCTCTAATGACTTTAGGTAGAGTAGAACATGTAACCAGTGTGAGAATAATAAAAGCACTTCACAGATCACTTAAGATAGCCAGAGTTTCTATAAAATGTATATTTGGAAATTCTGAATAATCTTTTATTTTCTAGGTTGGAGTACACATTGCAGATGTCAGCCACTTCATTCGACCAGGAAATGCTCTGGATCAGGAATCTGCAAAAAGGGGGACAACTGTGTATTTGTGTGAAAAAGTAAATTTTCTAATCTCTAGGGGTTTTTTTTCTGTTGTAATTCGTTTTATTTTCTTCACAGACCTAAACTATATTCTAACTTTGAAATAACTTGAACTGAAGACATAGATCATGGTTGCCCTACAAATGGCATTGAGAAGGGAAGCTGTAGACATGTGTCTTCATGCTTTTTCTAGCTCAAGGAAACCTGTAGTGGGATTTTCTTGACAATATTTGTGTGTGTGTGTGTGTATGCCTTTGTCTTCTGAGGCTGAGAGAGTGTGACTTTGCCCAGGGTCACCAGCAGATTTTCATGGCTGAACGGAGATTTGTAGACTGGTCTCAGAAATCATAGCCCAACATTTAAAGCAATCCACCACATTGGTCCTAGGGAAGCTGAAGTCAGAAGTAAAAGATTTCCATAACAAAGTATTGCTAAAGGATTACGGAGTAATACAGTTGGCATCAATATGTCTATTTGTTTTGTTTTTACAGAGAATAGATATGGTTCCAGAGCTGCTTAGTTCCAACTTATGTTCATTGAGATCCAATGTTGACAGGTAAGCATTCACTTAAAAAAAACCCCTACTAGCCAAGACATTTACTTCGATTCAGTTCTGTTCATTAAATGGGGCTGTTCCTTTCCCACCCCATATATATGTATGTGTGTGTGTGTGTGTGAGAGAGAGAGAGAGAGTTGTAGCTTCCCTGGGATGGGATGAGATGTGGTACACTTGGAAATAAGTTGCCTGTGAGAACAAAGAGCAATGGTTTGTGCTCAAGAAAGAACACCTTAAAAGCTAGGACAGCTGAAAACATGCTTTCAAGTTTCATCAGTAACTTCTCTTTTCCTAGGCTTGCATTTTCATGCATTTGGGAAATGAATCATAATGCGGAAGTATTGAAGACACGATTTACCAAAAGTGTCATTAATTCCAAGGTATGGTTTTTTGAATTTTGGCGAGCTCTAAAAAAGCTATAACAATCAGTCACTTAAATGTGTACGATATAGAGCCAGAAACAATGAAACCATATCTCCCATCTTCCTCCAATTTTAAAAAAAGGGCAAATCCCATGATCATTTCTTTTTTCATTTCTACCTACTTCCATTCCAGAAGACAGGGCCATATTTAATATTAAGAAGATGGATGGGGAAGAATCCCAAAGAAATAAAGTGTTTTAATATTTTCCATGTATAGCTGCATAACAACATTTTTCTGTGACAGTTTCTGAGAGAGCTATTTGCAGTGCTTACAATTGCTAATGCTTGGATGTACTGAGTTAGTAAATAGGGCAAATTGGTTATTACTATTGTCTTTGCTATTATAAGATGATAAATGGCAAATCAAAATGATAGATAAAAACCTGTATTCAAAAATTGGTATACAATATACAAATGTTCTCTTTTTCCCAGGTGTGAATTACTTGGATCTTTATTTCATGCTCACTTTAGTAAACTACTTATATAATTGTTGATATGTTAAAGTGCCTCAGTAACCTAGCCAAATTATCATAATATCTCAGTCTTATTTAAATTTACATGTTGTAAGAGGAGGCTCTGCAAGCCAAAATATAAAAGTGACATATCAAATATGTTGTTTAATCATTAATCATTTCCACAAAAACAGAGTAGTAAGAAAGCAGGATTCAGATTATCAGCAAAGTTAGTATATTGTGTTATAAATTGTGTGCCTCAAATCAGGTGGCTATGCAAATTGCGACAGTTTTTGCAGGGTTTTTTTTTTTTTTGCAGAATTGCATGTTTGAATTGTGCTGTTTTCAAAAGAGTTGCATTTAAGAATGGTCACTTTATATTTATTGTGCCTCATACCCTTTTTTTCATTTGAAGGCTTCCCTGACCTATGCTGAGGCACAAATGAGAATCGATTCTGACACCATGAATGATGATATTACGCTTAGCCTACGTGGATTAAATAAACTGGCCAAAATACTTAAGAAGCGCCGGATACATAAGGGGTAATTGTTCAGTTTTCTTGTAATGCTGTGCATGATATTTCACTCTTACAGCCAGCTAACATTTGCCAGTGTCATCTGTACTGAAAGAAAACAAAAAATGTGAGATGTGCTTTCGTTTTCAGTCACTGTATATATTCAGCCATCACAGACTTGCCTCTGGAGAAATGCTAACTTAACAGACAAACAGCAGACTGAACCCTTTCAGCAGTATCAGCTGAATCATGGGCAGAAATGACATGGAATTCCAGATGTTGGGGATTTAACTTCCATCAGCAATGGCTAGCATAGCCTGTGGTGAAGGATGATGGGCGTTGCAACCAAGCAATATCTGGAGGAGTGCTGGAAAGAAACCAACTGGAGAACCAGTTCTCTATTGAGTTGGCACATCAAAATAAACAAACTATGAATCACATGTCTACTTTGATTAGCTCAAGAGTGAGCAATGTGTAGTCCTTTGAAGGTGTTTTTAGATTTCTGCATTCTGGAAAAAAGGATGCTTGACCTATACTGGCACAATGAATCAGGCAACACTTTTACATACAAACCCATAACTTCAGGCAACAAAAGGTTGTTGGCCCATGGTTTGTTTAGCCAGTTCCACTGCTACGTGCATTACACTGCTGGTTGGCTTGGAAAAATTAGTATTTGTAGCTACTGTTGTGAAGTTTCTTCAGTTTCTTAGCTTGGTGCTAAGAAGACAGCATGCATCTTCCAGACATTTCCTACTATATATTGCAAGAGCCTGGCTATTTCATATATTTTTGGGTCATGCACCTGGGTCAAATGAATTAGGTTAGTGTCCTGTACTTTCCATAAAACATGTCCGCAAATGTTCTCTAATGCTCTTACTTTCCCCTTGGGAGTTCCTTAGCAAATGTGATGAATATTTGGAAATATAACAGTAAAAATATTTCCTTAGGTTATATTTCCAATTTCAGGATCAATACTTTTCAAAATATGTACTGTAAAATGTTTATTTTGTTAACCTGTGTTACTTTCTAGGGCTTTAACACTTTCTTCACCTGAAGTTCGTTTCCACATGGATAGTGAAACTCACGATCCTATTGATTTACAGACAAAGGAACTCAAGTATGTTCACACAATTCCCAGAACAAAAATGCATTGACTTGTTTTGAATCATGTAACATCTCCACTTAAATTGCATGAACTGCATTCTAAAAATCTGTAAATGTGTCCACTGTTTTCCCATCTATGAAAGTGTTTTCCATCAGATCACTGCACTGGAAGCAGGGAAAGGGGAAAGTTAACTCGCCTTTTGCTTCTAGAGATGTTTCAACTACCAGCAGTTCTTCTTCCTTAAAGTTGTGATAACCAGCACAACCACTGTGTTCATTTTGACTTGTGCTCTCTGCCAGTTGTTTGAATAGCTCCCCCTTTTGTTGAGAGTTGATGTATCTTGTTGTTCAGTACTTCATGTGACTAGTCCAAGTACAAGTCCTAACTTGAATCAGGTAGAAAATAAGGTTTTTGTCATCTTTGCATCCCAATTTTGTGTGTGTGTGTGTGTGTGTGTGTGTGTGGAGGGGGATTGGTTTCCTTGTTGCTTACTTGTTGCTTTTGGAGTAAGAATAAAATTAATAATAGCTATTCGGTAACTTAAAATGTAATGTTTCTGTTGGCAGAGAAACCAACTCCATGGTTGAGGAGTTCATGTTGCTTGCTAATATCTCTGTAGCACAAAAGATCTATGATGAATTCTCAGAACATGCCTTGCTGAGAAAGCACCCAGCGCCACCTCCCTCTAATTATGACATCCTTGTGAAAGCAGCAAAGTCTAAGGTAAGTTCTTTATGTAATGTGATCATTTGTTTCTTTCTGTACTTAGCCTTTGAGCTCCAAGAGATCCTAGATGCGGAGTTTGTTTTCAAAACATACCAAATCAAAAAAGAAAAGAAAGATAAGTTATAGGTGGCAGCACATTGTTGGCTAAGGTAGAATATTATGTACAGATAAAAACTAGCAAAATGTATCAAATGACATCATTGAAAAATTCCATTTTATAGCAAAAGAATACATACCCTTGGCATTCTCCCCCCCCCCCCCCCCCCATTTCCTATACAGTTTGTTCAGATGGATTTAGTATCTTTTGGAAACAAGCTCTATATATGGATTCTCATGTCTCTGTGGAGTTCCTAAGGTACATTCTGTATTTTGAAATTGATTTATAACTTTTGTGTATTTTGGAGTTATTTTATAACCTTGAGGTTCTATCTGTCCTCTGAAGAGCTGAAAATACGTAATACTTCCGATTCCTGGATTGCATCTGCATATATTCAGCAATGCATATGTAAACTATGGCAGACTTCTAAGCTATTTTCTCTTTCACAGGATTTAGAAATCAAAACTGACTCCGCAAAGGCCCTGGCAGATTCCCTAGATCGTGCAGAATCCCCTTCTTTCCCATACCTGAACACCTTGCTACGTATTTTGGCAACCCGCTGCATGATGCAAGCTGTCTATTTTTGCTCAGGAATGGACAATGATTTTCATCACTATGGTTTAGCATCACCCATTTATACACATTTTACTTCACCAATCAGAAGGTACTGTTCAGTTTTGATTTTTTTGTTTGTTTTAAAAAATAAAAGATAATATATGTTGCTTTCAGCCTGTGGTCTGACAGAGATATGAAGCTTTCAGGTGTTTTTATATTATAGTGAAAAGACCATTTTTTAAAAGGAGGGACAGAGATTTTGGGAAAGAATAATACATATCTAATACCTATTTTCATATCAAATTTTATTTATTCGACAATATAAAATTTCCCATTCATCACTTAAGTTGCTATATTTGTTCAGTACTAAGACACTTTCCCCTCAAAAAAACGGTATGTCTTTAAATTGGAGGTGCTTGTGTGTGTGTGTGTGTATGTAGCTTTTTGGTGTGTATCTCACAATCAATGGTATCTTAGAATTGAAGAAATATGGTCACATATAAAATTGTTTTATTTAGCATATTGTAAAATTTCAAAATATAAAACTTTACTTTCATACTGGCAAAACTGAGTATATCTTAACCTAAAGAGGGCTATAGACTGCTGTATTCTTTATTACTGGAGGGTTTTTCTTGGTCATCTAAGAAGTACAGGTGAAACGAGAGTGAAAACCACCGATAGCATGATAAAATAAAATATATTATTTGGACAAATAATCCCATTTAATAACAATCTTAAGGAGTAGACAAGGAGTTTATTTCTTTATTATGTTAAAAGCATCATTGAAAATGATGTATTTTCCCATAATTTGCAATAAGGCTCTCCGCCACTTTCTTTTTGTGTGGAAATACTGCTTGGATTCGAGCATTGTATATGCCTACCCTGTGTCCATGAATTATTACTTTGTAACATTACAGATTGTCTTCAATACAGCCCTTCATGTTACGCAATTCATGTCCTTTTCTGTGAGCAGAACTCTGTCTTACAGTTCCCAAAGAAGAATTTAGTAGATGGCCCCTCTAATGTTTTCAAGTTCTTACCTGTTTTTATCTCTCCATTCTTTGTACAAAGTGAGTGTCAGATACTGATGAAATACGGTGGCCGAATCTAATACAGCTGTTTAGATGCCTGACAAAAGAGGAGAGTGAGCTCTTATTTATCAGTGACGCACATTTTTCCTTACAGATATGCTGATATCATAGTGCATCGATTGCTGGCTGTGGCTATTGGAGCAGACAGCACATACCCTGATCTTACAGATAAACATAAATTGGCAGAATTGTGTAACAATCTCAATTACAGGCACAAAATGGCTCAATATGCACAGAGAGCATCTGTTGCCTTCCACACCCAGGTGAATGGCTTTCGGTTTTGTTCCAGTAATCATATGAGAACTGAATGTAGTAATGTCTGGTTCTTTGTAGTACTATATTTAGGGGTGTATTATTATAATGTGCACTTTTAAAATAGTTTTATATTTTAGTTCTGTCATTCGGTGGGGGGGGGGGGTGACGACAATAATATTGGTGTGCTTGGAACTGTATAATTCCCAGCTCTTTTTATCTGGCTGCCTCACCCTCTGTTTTAGAGTAGTCACTTTTATGTTAGTTTTATGAGGGTTTAAGAAAAACCTTCCTGGTTTAAATCAGTAAGTTTGCCTGTCCCTTTGCCTGGGGAAAGGGAGCCATTATAGATCAGACTTATTACCACCAGGGAATCTTGGATGCAAGACATGTCTGCAGTTGGTGCCAGCAAGATCCAGGCTTGAACAAACCATTTCAAGTCAATTCAACCAATAATTAGTTAACCAAAAACTAATTAACTCCTTGGGCATTGGACACCCCAGAGGCCCCTATACCAGAGATAGCGAGCAAGGAAAACTTTCATTTATTCTCAGTAATCATCCATGACTGGCAGCTTCAGGAACAACCAATTATCCTTCAGATTTTAAGTATGGACTTTGTGGTAAGGAAATCAAGTTTGTGCCTGGATGGAGATAGACTCAAGATCAGTTAGTAAATCATTACCATTTTTCTAAAGCAATAGCATGGACATGGATTCTGTGGGGTTCCTTGCTCAAACAGGAAGGCAATCCAGCATCCCCCAAGCTGACAAAGTTAGGACATGTTAATGCTAAAGACATTTAAAGCAGCTTGGGTGCAACTGCACAGTTGGACTTTTTTTAACTTTTGCCATGTATGTCAGCAAGGAGAGCACCATTTTGGGATATATTGTTGTCTGAGGCCCCATCTACATTATCATATAATGCAGTTTGGAACTGCATTATGCGGTCAGTTAACTCATACAATGTTGAAACTGCATTATATGAGTCATCACTAATTGTGTAATGCAGCTTCAACTGCATTATAAGGCAGTATAGATGGACTTTAATATAAAATTATGAATGTTACAAATATTCAAATTTTGATTGAGATTTAAAAATATATGGGTTTGTTATCCTGTTCTTTCATTTTCTTTATGACAAAAATAATGAGACCTTGTAATATACTGATAATGGTGTGGGTGAGAAAAGTGAAGAGAATTTCTTACAAGTTTATTTTTTCTTTTAGTTGTTTTTCAAAAACAAGAGCGTGGTGAATGAAGAGGCGTATATTCTGTTTGTGAGGAAGAATGCAATTGTAGTTCTGATCCCCAAATATGGGTTAGAAGGCACTGTCTTCTTTGAAGAAAAGGATAAGCCAAAACCATCACTACTGTACAATGATGAGGTAAAACATTTTGACTTAATGGAGTAGACCTTTTTTTTACATGGAAACTGCACTATTCAAAATATGTCTTACAAGTTTGGTGTTTAGATTTATACTAATTCAGACTAGTCTAATCTACCTGAAATGGCAATATGAAACAGAGAGCAAAACCCAGAGAAATTGTTTGGAAACCACCTGTCCTTGACTGATCTCTTTCTTGTGCTCCAAATGTAAAATTCTTTTTAGTTTGAGATACCTTTGATTAAAAAAAAACATTTGAAGTATTTGTTTATGCTATATGAGCATGCTGTACATCTCTTGGCTAATCTGTTTGAAAGAAGTCATCTGATTGCTTTGATGCATTAGGAGATTCCACCTGAACATTAGGATGAACTTTGTAACTGTGAGAGCTGTTTAGCAATGGAACTCTCTGCCCCAGAGTGTGGTGGAGGCTCCTTTGGCGGCTTTTAAACAGAGGCTGGATGGCCATCTGTCAGGGGTGCTTTGAATGTGTTTTTCCTGCTTCTTGACAGAGGGATGGACTGGATGACCCACGAGATCTCTTTCAACTCTATGATTCTATGATGATGACCTGTATTACTACCCCGTTTTTCTCCCCATAGGGATTCAAGGCAGTGAACAAATAAACACCTAAGAAAACTTTTAAGATGATGCATTCAAAACAATTAAACATTTGGATGGATACAAAAGTTAAAATTAAAAAAATGTCATTAAAATTACGTTCAGAGCCCACCATCCCCCAGATCCCACCTTCAACGGTCCTAGCAGCATTCCCCTCATCCTTTATTGGTTTGCTCATGTTAAATTGTTTATGTTCTGTTGATCCCAATTCTGTTGATCCTATGTAAACAAAAGTGTATATGTGTGAAACTAAGGTTTTTTTGTGTGCTTTAGTATATTTTTTTGTTTCTTAAAAGTTAAAACTTGAGATATTTAACTATGCATCTATGCTTCTGGCTTTGAACATTTAATATAAAGAATATGTGATACATATTAGCACATGTTTAATTTAATTTTTAAATGCCTCGTTAAGTCATATTGCCTTGGTTTTTAGATACCATCTCTTACTGTGGAAGGCATAACTTTTCATACGTTTGACAAAGTTACAGTGAACATCATGTTAGATGCCTCCAACATCCAACACCAGAAAATACGTATGGCTTTGGTAGAGCCAAAGGTAGGTTGCTGACAACAGTTGCTTGATAATAATACTGTAGCATGGAAAAGTCCACACATTGTCATAGTCTTAAGTAGATCCTAAAACAGTATATGACATTTGGTGATACGTTCCTGAAGAAAAAAAAACCATCATGAATTCTTAAATGTGATGTCCATAAAAGTTCTGAGGTAGAAGACTGGAAATGTTGAGAGGAATAGAAAAAGAGGCATATATACAAGTTTTGATGAATCACCTAGTGAAAGTTGTCCAGTGGAGCAACCATTACATTTATGTGTAGATTAAGAAGTAATAAGATAAAGTTTCATCCTGACTATTTTCACCAGGAAGAATTTTACCCCATTCATAAAAACTTGTAATTTGTCCATTGTACAATCTTAAAATTTGTCACATATGTTAGAATGCCTTCTTATATTTGCAGGTTGAGTTCCTTCTTTTTCTATTTGGATGCCCTTCTCACAAAGCTAGATATCAGTAACCTGAGACTCTGTGTGAGATGACTGTATGGCAGCCATGTTGGTGTTGCTCTGTTTTCTGGCCAGCATAGTGGTATCAAAGTAGTTGGCATTTAGACTGTTTTCATGTGACCGTAGGTTTTTCACTTTATTTTGAGAGTAGGAAAGACATTTGTTGCAGAATATCTGATACCATTGGCACGAAAAGGAGAGAGACAGGTGGTTCAGTGCAGTTTTAAATCAATGGATCTTACTTGCTGGTACACAACCAGTCATAATACGGTGGAATATTTTTAGAGTAGGTCTGTGTATAGGGAAGGTTCCTGTGATATATAGTATGTACATGCTTAGAACAACTACCTTGAGTCCTGTGTAAGATACCTGTCAGGAACAGCTGAGGAATTTAATCTAACATCAGAGTGGAAGGTGTTTTATTGGAGGGCACCATGGAGATTCCAGTACATATTGTTTCAATACATTTCATCAAGCAAATACCCGTCTGTTTCCTAAGTATTTCTGGATTACTCCAGGGACCTATTTGGGCTTCCAAAAACTGACTGACTCTACCGCATGAATAGGAGCAATGCATCATCATCAGCATCATTTAATTACTTATTAATCACCCTCCATCCGAGAATGCTCTAGGCGATTTACAGCTAAATTGTAAAAGATAAAATACATATATACAAAAATTAAAAATTAACAGGGATCGAATGCTCTAGTAAAAAGTCAGGTCTTAAGTGCTTGAGTAAAAGGCCCTAAGTCACGCATGGCTCTCATGTAGGGCGGCAAGGAATTCCATAAGGCAGGGACAGAAATAGAAAAAGCCCTGCGTCTGGTCCTTTCCAAGTGCACTTCTCTAGGACCCGGTATATAGAGTAAGTCACGTTGGGCTGGAGAAGGAGAGGCAGTCCCTAAGGTACGATGGACCCTGACTGTAAAGAATTTTAAAGGTCAGAACTAACATCTTATACAGGCCACGGTACTCAGTTGGAAGCCAATGTAAATGTTTCAGCACTGGTGCTATATGGCATTTCATGGGCGTTCTTGTGAGTAACCTGGCTGCCGCGTTCTGAACGATACGAAGCTTTCGGGTGGTAGACATCGGAAGGCCAACATACAGGGCGTTGCAATAGTCCAGCCTAGACGTGACCGTGGCATGGATGACTGTTGCCAGAGCCTCGTCAGATAGGTAGGGTGCCAGTTGCCTCGCTTATCGTAGATGGAAAAAGGCCTGTTTGCTGCACACCTCTGTTCCTTAACACCACATTGACTGTCTAGTCCTTCCCCACTGGCAACCATGCATTTGCCACAGACCTTTACAATGAGGCCTTTGATGCATAGGCTGCCAATACATGAGCTAACCTTCACACTACTAGGGTCCTAGCCATCATGGAAACTTCAATTTTTGTACTGATTTTTTTTGCTTTGAGTGCAAACATTCCAGAGTGAAGGCTACACCTGAGCATTTTGGGACGGCACTTCGTGTTGTGCCATCCGTTCCTTATGCTAAGAGCACTAGTGGCGAATGTAATGTTTGACCATCTGCCATAACCAGTAATGATGAATAATGGAAATTGCAGTCTAGCAAGATCTGGAAGGCCACATATCCCCTATCCAAAGCTTGGATTCTGGCATGGTCTTGGTTTTGGTTGATACAAGTAAAGATAGCATTTGTGCATTGAAATATAAATAGATCTAATCCTATTCTTTGAAGCTCACTTGTAAGTTTTCAACAGATTGTTAAATTGTCATAATATTTGAGTCTTATATTCTTATTTCTCTGTTAGGTACCAGGATGTAGTGTTGCAAGCCAAAATCGTGAACCAGAAAAAAAGAAGAAGAAGCTGGGGAAATAATTTTGTTACACCATTTTAGAGATTTTCCCGCTTTTAAATTATGTTTAAAGAAAAAAAAAACTTCTATAACTTTTTATACAGTTTTAGAGTTTCCTTAAAAAAATTGTACCTGTGCTTAAACATTTTTACCAGTATTCTGATACAATGACATTTTAAAATGCTAGTCATGTATTGTATTAAAGGCCTCTGTGCCAAAAATATGTGATCTTTTGGGAATTCCTTGGTTTGTCTGCAGAAAGAGAGAAAATGATGAGTTTCAATATGGAACATTTTGTGTGTATTTCATCTCTGGCAGTTAGAATTGCATCAACTTCTAATGTTTTCCCTTGCACATCTATTGCTTTCTTGATATATTTGTCAGCTTTTTTTTAAGAAAAGGGGGCACTGGTGCCACTACTATTCCTATAAAATGTGGACATTATATAAAAATAAATATACATCAACAACAAAGGCTTTTAACTTGCACAACACCAAAGGAGGAACACAAGAGCAAGTGGATATTCTATTTATACTAAACTTATATTCTAAAGTGTAACATTTCATGTCTGCTGGGACATAGCCAAAGAAGTGGGCTCATGTTGGCTTAAAATAGCAACTGATCTTGTGTTAAATGTTTCTGTTTTGTACAGATTTCAGTATTTGTCGTCATTGGGGACATGTTTCTCAACCTTCCTAATGCTGCGACCCCTTAATACAGTTCCCTCATGTTGTGGTGACTCCCAACCATAAAATTATTTTTCATTACTACTTCATAATTGTAATTTTGCTACTGTTATGAATCATAATGTAAATATCTAATAAGCAGGGTGTTTTTTCTATCACTGGATGGAATTTGACACAAATACTCAATATGCTCAAATTTGAAATTGGTGGGGTTGGGGCGGGAATAGATTTTGTCATTTGGGAGTTGTAGTTGCTTGAATGTATAGTTAACTTACAATCAAAGAGCATTCCGAACTCCACCAATGATGGAACTGAACCAAACTTGGCACACAGAACTCCCATGACCAAGAAAAAATACTGTGTTTTCTGATGTTTTTGGCGACCCCTCTGAAATCCCCCTCGCAACCCTCCCAGGGGTCCCAACCCACAGGTTGAGAAACGCTGCTCTAGGCACTCAACTTTTATGGCCTTGTGGGCAATCATTATTTATTATCTGTATCCAATTACAGAATGACAAGCAATATATTGTGTAGTAAATTAAAGAATAAACCCTTCTGATTTAATAGATATTCTTCCCAATAACTCCAGTATCAAATGAAAGCTTAGTTAAGTGGTTTTAAACCTCTGTGGCACATTTGTGTGCTGTGAAAGTTGCATACTTATCTTACAGCAAGTTTTTCTCTTTACTTCGGCCTCCCCCTTCCTTTGGTGACTACCCCTTAGTTTGAATGGGATGCCATGCTCCCCTGCTATTGTCTGAGAAGTGGAGAAGCCAGCAACATGCATGCACTGCATGTGCCACATACACTCTCCCAATTCCCACCTGTTTCACTCAAGGTGACAGTAAACATCACTACCCAACTGGGCTGAATGAGCTCTTTTTCCTCCTTCCCCATGAAGTACAACATCCTGTTTGGAGTGAGAGGAAAAGGAAGAGGCTATACTAATTTCATTCCTTTCTTATCACTTTCATTTCATGAAGGAAAGAGGTTCATCCTGCCCAAGCTTGACAACTGTTGTTGCCTCACGACTCACAAAGATTGCAAATGGAGAAATGGGTGCAGATCTGAGGCAAGTGAAGATGGCAATGCTGTTATGAGGCCAACAAAAAGGTGCTAAAAGACTTTTGCTCCTCAGATAAACTGAAGAGCTGATGTCTATCAGAAATAAAAAGCAGTTTAGTGATAAAGACAAGACATAAATAAAGTTGAATTTACTGGGTTTCTGTGCATTTTCTGACCATGTTCCAGAAGCATTCTCTCCTGACATTTCGCCCACATCTACGGCAGGCATCCACAGAGATTGCGAGGTCTGTTGGAAACTAGGCAAGTGGGGTTTATATATCTGTGGTGCATCCAGGATGAGAGAGAAAACTCTTGTCTGTTTGAGGCAAGTGTGAATGTTGCAAGTGGCTACCTTGATAGCCTTGAAGCTTCAAAAGCTTGACTGATTCCAGCCATGAAAGCCTTCAACAACACATTGATGAGTTTACTTAATGTCATTAAATACAATTACAAGACTTGTTTCTTAAAATTAATCCTTAAACATTGATAGTATGCCTTGACTAGCTTAGTATCAATGTGTTGTGAGATTAAAAAGTTGAAAGCCACTGCCATATATTGATGTCATTCTAGGAAACTGAAAATGTACCCTTCCAGCTACGTGGGGTTGCACCCTTCATTATGCTTTGCGAGGACAGAATACAGGACTGATGCTGTGTAATTATTGATCAGGATATGGGTGTCATCCTGATACAGTGGTTCATTGCTTACACCATTGTACAAAACAGATCCATAATTCCCAAATACTCCAAAATGGTCTTCATATGCACATATATACCTATATTACAAAATACCTTGTCTCAAACATTTTGGATAAGGAATATTTAGCTTGTAACCTGGCAACCTACACAAGATCTACCCTTCCCGCTTTCCACAGTACAGAACTAGTTAGTAATCCACTAGTATACCAACTGGTGAAGGGGAAACCTAATCCATAAACTACCAGCATACCGTATAAATTTGTAATAAGGTTCATAAAATAGATTACTACTCCACCTGAACACCTGGCTATCTGACTTGAGTCATAGACAAAGAGAAGCAGCATTCAGCCCATTTGTGAGAAGTCTTTATTGCGCTGATCAAGTTTCATTCCATAATTTTAAAAGGTGGTTAGGACTTACAATGAAGTGTGGTAAAAAGGTGTCCATTAAAGAATTATGCTTTCTAGGTTCAGTGATAATAAAAAACAGCCGTTGCAAGATCTGTATTATTCTATTAAATATTAAAATTTCTTTTAAAAAGAAAAGGACAAATGTTTAAAACCAGTGCAGTGTATCTTAAGTATTTTGCTTCTTCGTACAATCTTCTTGACATAAGTTTTGAAAGGGAGAAAGTGTCTGTAACACTAATTATTTTCATGGAAAACAGGATCAGCAAATTGTATGTCACTACAATTCTGTAAAATGTGGATGTCTAGGTCAAATGAGTAGTAGCAGCCAAGAAAACCTATCTGGAGCTTATGAGTTGGCATTATCAGTCTGCATATCTGGAAAATGTGTGTGCAACTACCACAATTTGCCCAAAGATGGCTGTCCCTTTTTGTGCAAGTCTTAATCCCAGGGGCAGCAAACCAAAAGCAACGTTTTTTTCCATGAGAAGTACTAGGGTCAAAGACCTAGGAGGTTTCGTTGTTCATTTCCATTTTAAACGTTACTTATTTGCCAATGGCTTTTCTGCTCCTAGAGAGCAATTGCACCAATCACACCTTTCACATGTTTTTCAGTCCTCACTTCAGCTCCACCGTGCAGTTCTTCACACATTAATCATGCCACAAGCAGATCACTTTGAGAAATGCGTTTCTAGAAGACTGCTACTGGATTGATAAGCAGACTCATTTTCAGTCCAGTATCTAGGAAGGGCTTTTCCATGCTATAAGTGGGGGAAAACACAACCCAATAACACTAGATTAAAGACTACAAATCAAAATCAATCCACTTTCTGTCAAACTTTAAACAGCAGGTACTTTTTCTGCCTGTCGCTACATGGGGAAGAATGGGACGTAGAAAAATGCTTACAGGACAAAATGCATGGGAGTTACAGAAAGTAAAATGGATTCACTAGTGTTTTTGACTGAACATTGGAAAGAGATGGTCTACACCTCTCAACTGAGTATAGCAATCTAATGGGGAGGAAGAGAAGACAAGTCAGAATTTCTGCCGTGGCTTTTCTTTAAAGAACTTTTCAGTGGAAGTTCTGTGCAGGTCTGTATTCGTATGTGGGACAAACCATGAAGAACTCCATTTGCAGGTTCAGCATTCATGGCTTGGATTATTAGTGGGTTACCATTCTCCCCCTTCTGAGGCTGCTGCATGCACGTTGACGGCAGCGTTAGGTTTTGGGAGAGGCGAATACTGGTGTTTGCCACAGCTACTGATGACCACTCCCAAAGCCTGAGGCTGAACCACTGCAGGCTTTGAGTGCCGACGCACCAGCACTCTCCCTCACCAACCACCTCTAGAAATCTCTGCATGGGTTTCGGAAATTAATGGGCCATCCCTGCTCCTCAGACTCAGAAGTGGACTGGGCAGATCAAAAGATAACGCGGCAATAACCCTTAAAGAATCCTCCATCTTATGCGACTGTGGAGCAGAACAGACAACTCTGCATCTGTATGCTTGTCATAGCAGAGCACTTGATGAACCAACCTGGACACATGATATTATTTGAGAACACATAAATGCTGGACCACTCTAACAACTACCATGTCAGAGGAGTCGTTGAGTCACTAAGGGAGAAAGGCAGGGTATAAATAATAATAATAATAATAATAATAATAATAATAATAATAATAATAAAGATCATAGTGCCCCACTGTTTCCACTAGGCCTGGGCGGTTTCGTTCGTTAATTTTGTAATTCGTTAAATATTCGTTATTTTTAGCAATTACAAAATGATTACAAAACTTATTTTCAAACCCGGAAGTGTTTTTAAATATCGAAACGGCATCCTCCATCTTTTTTACGAGCTTCCGCCCATTTCGGAAATGACGTTTTAGGGATGGAGGATGCTGGGTGCGCCGGGAGCCAATCCGGCGCTCCCAAGCACTGTGGCTCATTGTGATTGGGCGGGCTGCCCTTTAAAAGCGGCTCCGCGTGGCCGCATTACTCATTGCGAAGGCGAGGAGACGGGAAGTGCGGGAGGGAGGCTTGGGCTTGCTTGCATTCATTCATTCATTCATTCATTGCTGGGAGCAGCGGGGAGGCTTTGCCCTGTTTTCGCCCCACAACAGGGTAGGGCAAGCATTTTGTTAATTTTCCATTTTTAAATATTTCTGATAAATATTTCTTTTATTCTTAAAAAAATTCAAAAAATATTCTAAAAAAAGAAAAACTTGTGTGCCTGTGTGTGTGTTTGTCCCTGTCCTGTGGCTGTGTTCGCTCCACAACAGGGCAAGCCTTTTGTTAATTTTCCATTTTTAAATATTTCTGATAAATATTTCTTTTATTCTTAAAAAAATTCAAAAAATATTCTAAAAAAAGAAAAAAGTGATTTGCGCATGCGCGGGGGGTCCGCCATCTTAACGAATCGATTCGTTAATAATAACGAAATTTCGTAAATACCGAACTTTTTTAAAGGAAAATTTTGTAATTCTTTTAAATAACGAAACGCAACCCCCCCCCCCAAAAAAACGAATCGATTTTAGAAACAAATTTTTGCGTTGTTACCCAGGCCTAGTTTCCACTGCTTTAGGGATACATAGCAGCAGCAAAACTTTCCTTGAAGCTACTTCCTGAACTTTGCTGTTATAAATTTGGGAGAAGAATGGGGAGGCAGGACAGCTGCAATCTCCTTAGCCACCTAAACGTAGCGAGTTTAGGGAAGTGATCTGTAGGGCAGTTTACAGCAGCTTCATCTGTAGTTAGTCCTCATAAAATTGCTCTTTGCTAATCCTCTCAAGGTATGAATACTATACTCCAAGACCCTATAAATGCCACATTTCTAATTTTGCTAACTCAACTAGGCAACTTAGCTATGGAAAAGAATATAACTAGCCCATTAAATCCTTTAAGCAACAGATTTTCTTTTCAGCCCAACCACAGTTAGCCTCCCCATCCCCCCCACCCCCACCACTCCTTCATGTCTCCCACAGCCACTCAAACTGTCTTACCTTTGCTCTGAAAAAATGGGAATTGTTGTGACTCTCGCAAAGATGCATGTCGTTTTCTTTGCAACTGGTCTCCGCTCCAACTGTGTCCATAAGACTACTGGAACAAGTCTGGCCATTGTAACCACTATCCACCTGGTCAAAATAAATTAGATTGGAGAATGCTTTTGGAGGGTACTGGCCTACAGAGAAGTGCCAGAGCCAAACAAAATTTTGTTACACATAAGTAATTTGATACCTTAAATTACTTAAAATGTAAATAAAATTTAAAATTTAACAACAGCCTTTCTGAAAATAATGTCAAAGTTGCAATTAATGTTCCTCAAAACACCAAGAATTACAATTGTAACACTTTAGAAAGACATATGTTTAATAATAATGATGATAATAATAATAATAATAATAATAATAATAATAATAATAATATTTCTAGACTGCACCTTTCTCCCAAAAGGGACTCAGGGTGGTTTACAGCACAAAAACAGGGAAACGTTCAATGCATTACAATGTAACGACCAACATCAGGAATAATAAACAATAATAGCAATAAACTTAGAATGAAAGAATTAAATGTTGAGATGGGGGATAAACCAATTAGACAATACATTAGGATGTGTAAACATTAAACATACATCATTAAAACAGTTAGACATGAGTTAGAAATTTCTGGATTTTGAGAGAGCGAAAATTATATTTAATGTCACTTCCATGCTGTGATTTTACATGCCAAAAGCTGGATCCCACTCAAGTTGCTCCAGGTGATACGTGCAAGCGGGATGCAATGCATGATATGTGCAGCTCAGAGTGCTCAAGCCTTCACACCATTAACCTTACCTGGAGGCTACTGTTCTCACAGGGAGTGACACTGCTTTCAGCAATAGGAGACATACAGATGCAAGAACCTTCAAAGTTCAAGCCAGTGATTGTCATGCCATTATTTTCAGCTAATCCTTTTACTGAGTTCTCATCCAAGATCTCGTCTGGATCATACATATCCACCGTATGGCTTTCCTTTAAATTGTGGAGATCATTGATCATTGCAAACTCCTGTCTGTTTTCTTCAGAATGGTCTGGTGAAAGGGCCACTCTGGCAACCACCAAATGGGTGCCATGTGTAGAGACATCTCCATTCAATTGGTGCAGGTTGCTTTTTGCCCGTACTGGGGATGGATTTTCTTCAGGCAAAACATTTGCTGTGGCCTCATCCACCTCTTCCTCCTGCTTTTCACTGGGGCTTTCAGGAGTAGAAGGCAAGCGAGTGAGGGAGGTCTGATACACTTTGCCTCCTCGACATGTCACAGTTCTCATGGGGGAAAAATGTTCTAATGGAGAACATTCTGCAAAAGAACTCCTGGTACCACAAGGAGCTGGTCGGAATACATTCGAAACAGAAGGCACATCCGGAGACCGAAAAGTGAGGTGTTTTTGTTCTGCATTTGGAAGAAAAGAACACATAGAATAAATGGAATTTTTAATTACAAGCACTGAAAGGGTTAAATGGGTGCAACAACTCAGCAAAAGCTGTAGGTTCAATATAAGCAAGTGTGTCTGTAGCTTAGTAGGCCTCAGTGTGTTAGTGGGAGAAAGGCCTCAGTGTGAGATAGCCCTCAGTGTGAGAGAACACTTGTGTGTGAGAAAACCCGCAGGTTGAAGGCTTTGTGCGTAAAGCTAATGTTTGAAGGTCCAATGTGAAGGCTGCTCTGTGTAAAGCTACTATGTGAAGCTCCTTTGTAAGTTCAGTATGAGAAGAGGCTTTGTGAGAGTGGAGCTGTTTATCTGCATAAGAAAGAAACTTGGAATGGAAGCAAAGAAGAAAGTATGAAGAATTTTATTTGTGTTATGAAAACCTTGTTCTTGTAAATAGTGCAACCATATTATTTTGCTATAAAGAAAAGATTCCTATGGAAGAGATAACACTGGTATGCGTTTTTGTTCTTTTTATCACTTTTAGCTACTAGTGCTGAGTCATGCTGCTGCTAATAAGTTATATTTATGAAGAGGGTCTTTCATTAATAAGCCCACTCACACAACATTATCAACCTTGTTAAGACTGAAGGTATAAAATATAGCTTGTCTTCCACTTAAAGTCCACATAAGTCATCGCTCAGCATCAAATCAAGAATTAAATTGCAGTATCAAACACATACCTGATAGTGGTGTCTTTCTTATCTGAATACTAATTGGAGAGACAGTTGGAGAAGCACAATTTGCCAGATTTCTCTCTAGGAACGAAGGGCTGGATAGGCTTCCCAGACTGTAGGTCCTCTTACCTCCCTGAATAGGGCTGGAGGAAAACTGGCCCTTTCAACATAAAAGAAAATTCTCATTAAAAAAATTTCAAAAATGAAAATCAAATTGCCTTTGCTGACTGGAAACTCAAAACGGTATCCTTTACACTCAAAAGACTTTAACTAAAAGTTGAGCACGTTTGCCTGATTATAATATTGTATTTCACCATGTAATAGTCATCACTGCTTAATCATTGCACCCCTGTTTTCCAATCCAAAAATTGATTTTTTTTTCTTTCCTCGAGTAATCGTCACAATTACACCCTCCTTCCCTTTGGGAGGAAAGCTAGTTTTTTTTTTAAAAAAAATGAGCTCTCCCTTCTGTTCTAACAAAACAATTTTTGGACTGAACCAAAAATCAACTATGAAAATACTTTGCTTGTCCTAGTTCTACCACCGGTATCAACAATCTGAAACACTCTGGTATTTCTGGGTTATGCACCTATGAAAGATCAAATCTTGGTAAGATTTGTTCAGAAAACGTTTGTCGTTGACATCCTCTGTGTTGAGAGAGTATGATTTGGCCAACGTCACTGAGTGGGTTCCCATGGCTGACCAGAGATTCAAATCCTTGCCTCCTGGAGTTTTAGTCTAACACTTAAGTCAGTAAGACACACTGGTTCCTTTTCCCTGCCCCCAGATTCCTGGACAGAGGTGGGCAACCATACTGGTGGCAGGCAGCTCCCTTCAAGCCAAGCCCACTGACTTATGCTCAAATGCTCGCCAGACCCAACCTAGTTCCATCCATCACATTTCAAAGGCATATGGACACACTGAGAAAAGATCCCACCAGCAACAGCCAGTGTATGTCCAGTGCCAACTCCTTACCGAGCTTGAAGTATTTAGTGGACTTCTACAGCGGACTGGAGAGATGTCTATTGAATACAGTACTCCAAGGGAGGCTGGAACATTGTGCGGACTATGAGGAGCAGGGGATGTGTTCCCAGAGGAGAGGCTCCCATCCTCATCTAAAAAGAGCTTTCTTCTCAATGAGGAAGAACTCAGGCTTTCTTGAGATTGATCGGCTAATTCATCCACCTTAAAATGTTCACCTGAAAAATACAGCAGAGGTGAGCACTTTTCTCTGAATCTAGAGACATTTTCCCTCCCCAGATTCTGGCAGGTTATACTACTCTGACACTTCCTGTAAATTGCCTTCCATGGCAAGATTAAAAATGTTTATGTGGGTTAACATAGGCCTGGTAGGGGGACTGTATTTAAATGGCAAGTCATCCTCAAAGGATTCTGGGAACATGATTTATCGTGTTCAAGACAAGTATTTTGGGGACACAGAGGGATCCCAGTGGGCTGCCTTTTCTATAGCCCCACCTGTAAACAGAAATTCAAAATATAGAAGAAATGCTATTCAAAATTCCAGTCACCTGTGAGCCCTTTTAACAGGCACATCCTTCTTATTCATTGGGTTCGAAATCCAGGCATTCTCAGAAGGCAGAACTGGTTGAAAAGTGGAATCCAGCACTTTGTAAGTTGCAAATGCATTTTGGTCAATGAAAAATATAAACAACACACCACAGTATATGGTAGCATGTGTGAGAGAGGTCCCAAGAAAGGCTAATAGCTTGTCTCGTATTTAGAAATACTGAAAAATGAGGCACCAGAAAGCGAGGTGTCCCTCTATTCCAGTGGTTCTCAACCTGTGGGTCTCCAGGTGTTTTGGCCCATAACTCCCAGAAATCCCAGCCAGTTGCCAACTGTTAGGATTTTCTGGGAATTGAAGGCCAAAACATATGGGGACCCACAGGCTGAGAACCACTGCTTATTCTTTTCTACTGTTATGTACAGCTTAAGACGACTGGAATCCCATTAACTTCAATTGGAGTAAATGAAACTTGGGTTGCAACCAATTCATAGCCTAACATTTTATTTTACAGAGCACCTTATTGCATTATTATACAGCCCAGACATCCCTGATCTGGAAACTTCAAATGTCCTGCACTGTAACTGTCATCAGTTCTAGCCAACATGACTAATGGAGAGAAATTGTGGAAGTTTACATCCAAAGTATATAAAAGGCACCAAAACAGGGAAAGCCAATGTAGTGTTACTCATAAGGAAGGAAAGAGCTAGTGCAGCACATTAGGTAGGAGAACAAGCTACAAATCTCTTGCTTAGCCTCAGATCTTTATCTGCAACATGGGGACAGTAATGCTCATCTCTTTTACATTGTTGCTGTAACCATTAGAACCACCATACATGTTACACTCTTTGAAGTTGTTGTTTTTTTGTTGTTTTTTTTTAAACTGCTTGATATATTATCATCAGCGTTATTAATACCTATATCAAGCTCCCTTCCCTCATATGGCCATTTTTGCAAAGTTTCACAGCCATTTTTTCCTAGATACATACCTAATATTTTTTCGATGTCAAAATCTACAGGCAGAGACAATAAGGTCTGGCAAGAAGCTACAAGGAATAAAAAGAAATATGAAGGTGAATTCACAAGGATAAATGGGAGACGTGCAACAAAACTAATTCTTATGTTATACAGCAAGAATCCTCCATAAAGTTCTATCCCGCCTTAAGCTCAGGTTAACTACAAAGAGGCTCATCACCAAAAAATTAACCACTGGGTGGTAAATTGGCAATGCAGATATTATTACAACACTGTGGAATAGTTGCAATCTGTTTCACTCAAGGGATTACCCTAATTAAGGAAATCAAGGATCTTCAATGTATTTAAAATGGACTTAAATGTTTTCTAACTGGTTCCCTTTTCTCCTCCAGCAAGGCTATGGGAACATTGAAATCTATCCGTTATATTGAGTAACTACAGATTTGCGTGGAATTTAGATTCTAAATTCAGATTATCTTAACTATGTGTTGTTTGAACAAGTCATCTTAATAATCTTGAGGTTTCTTGTTTCAAATAAAATGTAGTTCAGAACAACCAGTTTGTCAGGTTTGGACAAAAAACATTACCAGTTGAAGCCACAGGTGTGTTGAAGGACATAGGCACATATGAACCTACAGCATGTCTAGAGTTTTTCTATTATAAGATGACATGGTTTATTGGCACACATAAACATAAGATAAAGGTAAAGGTTTCTCATTGACATTAAGTCTAGTTGTGTCCAACTCTAGGAGGTGGTGCACATCTCCATTTCTAAGCCGAAAAGCCGGCGTTATTCATAGATGCCTTCATGGTCATGTGGCTGGCATGACTGCATGGAGCGCCATTACCTTCCCACAGCAGTGGTACCTATTGAGCTACTCACATTTGCATATTTTCGAACTGCTAGGTTGGCAGAAGCAGCGCTAACAACGGGAGCTCAACCCGCTCCCCAGATTCAAACCACTGACCTTTCGGTCACCAAGTTCAGCAACTCAGTGGTTGAACCTGCTGCACCACTGGGAGCTCCAGGTGAACATAGCAGGTGCCAAACGTTAATCGACTATTTCCCCATTTTGCACCATTACCCCAACTCTCCATTTCCTCCTCAGCACAATAAATATATTTCTGAAACAATAGTTTCTTGAATTGAAAAATTGGACACCCAATTGTAGTGGGTTGCTATTCTGTTCCATCCCAAGAATGAGACCTTCTTAAAACCCAGTGTTAAAGCTTCACCTACTCCAATACCAAAGCAAACAAAATCTGATTTGGATCAGGTTAGCATTTTAGAGGGCCTTCTTTACTTTAGCACAGAGAATATACTTCACTATGTGTGTAAGCAATCTCATGTTGTTTCATACAAACCGTTACTTTTTCCAGGTTGCACAGCTATCTCTCTGCCAATTGGTGATGAATAGTTTATGTCCATACCTGTAAGATATTAAATTCTCAACTTAAAACTATCATAACATTGACATTGTAAAGGCAATACTTTCATATATTTAGTTCTAGACACAAACAAACACTACCAACATTTTAACCTTAGTAGATATTTTATAGGTAATCTCTGAATATTAAAGGTAAAGGTTTCCCCTGACATAAGTCTAGTCGGGTCCGACTCTGGGGCGTGGTGCTCATCTCCATTTCTAAGCCGAAGAGCCGGCATTGTCCATAGATGCCTCCATGGCTGGCATGACAGCATGGAGCACCATTATCTTCCCGCAGAAGCAGTACCTATTGATCTACTAACATTTTCATATTTTTAAACTGCTAGGCTTGCAGCAGCTGGGGCTAACGGGGAGCTCACCTGGCTCCCCAGATTCGAACCGTCAATCTTTGGGTCAGCAAGTTCAGCAGCCCAGCGGTTAATTCTGCTGCACCACTAGGGGTCAAACTATCTTTGAGTCAAATAGGAAAATTAGTTGGACAGTAGCAGGAGCTTGAACCAAATAGTAGTGCATAACAGAAGAGATTGGATTTGGGGGCGGGAGGAAGGAGATAATACAAAACCATTGGCTTTTAGAGAAAGAATTTTTTTTATTATTCTCTTCAAACAATGGTAATGTCAAAAAATTCAAACCTGTCACGAGAAAGAAAGGAAAGGCAAGCCATAATGGTAATCCAGGTTACAATCTGTTGACCTCTGACTTGTCAACCCACAACTAACTTACCCATGCAAAAGGAAACAGAAGAGAAATGAGGGAAAGCTGGGGTTAGCCTGTTTCTTTGTGGAGCAACTCATGTCTAAAACATGCATAAATCATGGCATGGCATAGCATGTAAACATGGTCACTAAGTAGGAGGAAGCAGGGAGGAATCAAGATGGCTCTACTGGCTACTTTTGTTGCAGTAATAGATCATGAAAGATCATCTTTCTTCACTAAGGAAAATACTTAACACACTGATAGGTAATTAAATTATTTTTTCCACTCTTGAGGGCCACATTTCCTCAGGGTGACTGTTCAGGGGCTTATGATTGTAACAATTGTGGATCAAAGCTCAGTTATTTCAAGGGGTTAATTCACAGAAGAGGACATGTTGGCACCCAACTTTGTGTGTCCACCAATCTGTTCAACATTCTACCTTCCCTATCCTTTCTGCCACCCCACACATCCTCCTCCACTCCACTCTGTGCCTGGGCCACTCATATGTCCCCTTAACATAGCATATAGGAAGCCCATAGCATATGGAAAGCCAAATCATAATGTGACTCATATGCAGCCCGCAATCCAAGGGTTCTCTATCACAGTCCTAGAAGACCACAAGAAGACAATCTAAACTATGAAATTCTTATTTAGATTAGGTTTATATAGAGAACTGTGTCTAAGATTTATTTCAAGACAAGTATGCACACACAAAAAAGTAAGCTGCATACACTAAGTAGAGCTCTAGAGGCCACATGAAATACAACCTTGAAGGAGTATGTCAGCAAGTCGTTCTGAAAAAGTTATCACACAATCCACACAACATTTCAGTTGGTTAATGAATACTTAAATATGCTTGGCTCCATTTGATACAGGGCCAGATAGAATTTAGGTAGGAAAATCTGCATGGTTCTTAACAGAGATCTTAACCTTCCCAGTTTCAAACATGACAAAAAACTTACAGGGTTGCTGTGAACTTTCTGGCCTGTATGGCCATGTTCCAGAACCATTTTCTCTTAATGTCTCACCCACATTTATGGCAGGCATCCTCAGAGGTTGAGAGGTCTGTGGGAAACTAAGAAAGTGGGGTTTATGTATCTATGGAATGACCCAGAAGGGAGAAAGAACTCTTTGTCTATTTAAGGCAAGTGTGAATGCTGCAATTGTTCACCTTGATTAGCATTGAAGAGCGTTGGAGATTCAAAGCTTGGTGCTCCCTGCATAGAGGAATCCTTTGTTGGGAAGTGATTAGATGGCCCTGATTGTTTCTTGTCTGGAATCCCCCTGCTTGTTGAGTGCTGCTCATTATTTATTGTACTGATATTATTTAATTTATTTATTATTTAAAAAAATTATATTACACCCTTCTCATCCTGCAGGGGACTCAGGAATAGGAGGTGCAAATGTTCATCAAATTGGACATATGTGAAGCACTTTATAGGATGAGAATTCGCTCAGGGATTACTGGAAAACAGCTTTCTTCCCTGGCAAGCAGAACCATCTGGCAGATGCCAAGTCACGCATGCCAACGGCAACATACTGTTTTCTCCTGTCTTGAGTTCAGTGGAAGAAAGGGAAGATAAATATAAAGATGACAATAATAATATGAATAATAACAATCTGAAACCACAACATAGCCATTTTTAATTAATATGATCACGGAATTTGTTTAGTTCTCACTTTTCTCTCTTAAACAAGATTCAAAAATATTCCCAAAAGGAATTCAATAGTATATATATCAGCACAGGAGCTTTCAAAAATAAGCAAGATACCTGCATCTCTCACATAATCACAGCATTATGCAAGCATCACAGTAGACTCCTCCCGAGGTCATAATACAGCCATGTATAAAAGTTAGTGTTTGTGGGTTTACATTTACTTTTTTGCAGGGATGTCAGGCAGAAAAGGTAT